GGGCTAACTGAAAATATAAGAGCTAGTTAGTAATAAGCCTGAGCTATCTGATGAGCATTTATAAATAATATTAAGCCTTTGTGTCAATTATTTGGGAGTGTGTGGTCAGGACAGAAAGCCTCTGTTTATATATTAAGCCCAATGTGGGACAAGAATTTTCACAAAGAACCTGAGAAAGCTTTAAAAAATAAAAAGGATTTTAGACACACAGAATGGAATCAAGCAAAGCTTGTTAGCAGCAGAATTTTCTTGGATGAGCTCTGTTTGCTGGTAGCAAGCAGAGGCATGGCTCCTTTAAGAGACACCTTCTTGACTCAGTGTTGGTAGCACTCATGGTACCATGAGTCCATGGTAGCAAAAATCATGAGGGTCTTTTAAGAGGGCATGTTACAAACTTGAATGAAGTTTATGAGCAGTGGATGGCATGCTACTCTCCAGTGGCATGGACTCAGAAACTCACCAGAGTTGAGATGGCTCCCACTGATACTGCTGCCACGAAGCTAAGCTTTCACAAAACAAAGAATGGGGCTTAGCAGTTTAAAGACTCATGTGGTCATAAAGAGAGATTCACAAAAAAACAAAAAACAAAAAGCCTCTAAATGGGCTTCACTGTGTTTAAAAATATACATAGACTTGGGAGAGAAAAGAAAAAGAATAGAGAATGTTCTTAAATAAGAAATAGAGTAAAAAATATGAGCCATAAAAAGACGAGAAATACACAAAGAGTCTGGATTATGTATATTATTGTGTTGTCTTTAAAATTTTCGCCTGCTGAGAGACCTTACTATATTAAACCAATCTATATATTTTAAAAATATCTTGATGTCAAAATTTAAGTCAAAAGATATGTTACTTTGGGAAAGAGGTTCTGCTTTAATTTTCACAGGAAATGAGAGGATCTAGATTCAAAAAAATAGTAGATCAAGAGGGTACATACCTGAACCTAAACAAGGTTATATGGCAAACCCATAGCCAACATCATCCAAATGAAGAAAACCTTGAAGCAACCTCATTAAAATTAGGAATGAGACAGGTCTGTCCACTATCCCCACTTCTTTTCAATATAGCAATCGGAACCTAGCTAGAGCAATAAGACAAGAGAAGGAAAGCAAAGTGATTTAAATAGAAAAAAATAAGTCAAATTATTCCTATTTATAGGTGATTTGATATTTTACATTAAGAGAGCACCAAAATTCCAGCAGAAAACTTCTAGAAAAAACACTTTCCACAAACTGTCAAATACAAAATCAACTAACAAAATCAGTTTCCTTTTTAGATGCCAGTAACAAACATCCTGAGAAGATCATTTAAACAATCCTATTAACAATAGCCCTAACACACACACACACACACACACACACACACACACACACACACACCAAAAAAGAAGGAAGAAAAGAAAAAAGATTATTGAAAGATGACTCAGTGGTTAGAAAACTGCCTGCTATCTGGAGAACTTGAATTTGGTTCCCAGTCTGCACATGACAGCTCACAACTGCCTATTAACGCCCATCCCAGGGATCTAACACCCTCTTCTGGCCTCTATGTGTACTGCACACATGTGATACACACATAAACATGCAGACAAGACACCAATACAAAAAAGATAAGATGAAAATAATTAAAATATCTAGGAATAAACTTAATCAAGAAGGTAAAAGACCTCCTACAATGAAAACTTTAAATCTCAATAAAGAAATAGATGAACACATTAGGAGCTGGAAAAACCATTGCACTCACACACTGGCAGGATTAATACTGATAAAATAATGACCATCCTACTAGCAGCAATTTAGAGATTCAATGCAATCAAAATACATTCTTCATAGAAATAGAAAAAAAGTCCTAAAGTTCATATGGAGCCACAAAAGACCCTGGATAGCCAAAGTAATCTTGACAAAAAAGAACAGAGGTATAACCATACTGGATTTCAAGCTATATTATAGAGATAAAGTAATAAAAACAGTATGGTATCAGGGCAAAAAACAACATGCAAGTCAACGGACTAAGTAGAATTTGTGCATACATAGTTATGATTATCTAGCATTTGACAAACATGCCAAAAAATACACACTGGAAAAATGACAGCTTCTCCTATAAACACTGGATGCCTACATGCAGAAAAAAATGCAATTTGACTAGTGTCTATGATACTGCATCAAAATCAACTTTAAACGCATCAGAGACTTCAATGTGAACCTTGAAACGCTAAAACTGACAGAAGAAAACGCAGGCAGAACCTACAAGATAAATGTGTAAAAAGGGTTTCTTGACTACATTTATCCAGAAACTAAGGTCATCGATGGACAAATAGGACCTCATGTAACAGAAGCAGATCTGTACGGCAAAGGAAACAATCATGAGAAAGCCTAAAGAGTGGAGAGACTGGACGGTTAATACCCAGAATACATAAAGAACACACACATACAAAAAAAAAAAAAACCAGAGAATAAAGGTAACAAACCACCCAATTAAAAAGTGGGCCAAGGATCAGAACAAAAAGTCGTCAAAAGAAGAAAAATAATGGCCAAATGGTCAAGAAATATCTTGAAGTGTTTAACACTCTTTTTTTTGTTGTTGTTGTTTTTTGTTTTGAGATGGGGTTTCTGTGTAATTTTGGAGCCTGTCCTGGAACTTGGTCTGTAGACCAGGCTGGCCTTGAACTCACAGAGATCCATCTGCTTTTGCCTTCCAGGTGCTGAGATTAAAGGTGTGTGCCACCACTGCCTGACTCAATATTCTTAATAATTAGAAAATGCAAATAAAACTATTTTCATATTTCATCTTACTCTTGACAGAATGGCCAAGATCAAGAAATTTAAATAACTGAAACCAAAGGTTAGAGAAGGCGTGGAAAGGGAGAACCCTTGTTCACTGGTGGCAGAATTACAAACTGATATAGCCACTATGGAAATCAGTGTGGAGATGTCTCAGAAGCTAAAAGCAGAGCTACCAGGACCCAGCGACATTACTCTTTGGCATATGTCCAGAAAAGAAGTGAAACTACGAAATTTGCAAGGAAATAGATGAAATAAGAAAATATGGCACTGAATGAGGCAACCCACACTCAGAAAGACGATCACCACATGGTTTCCCTTACTTGTGACTTTTAGGATGTCAGCACGTAACCTGGAGAGACCCGTCCTTAGACCATGAAAGTAAAAGGGGACGGCGGGACACAGGGGAAAGAGCGCTGCAGAGGGAGACAGCAGGACAAGGGCACTGTGAGGGGGGCATGGAAAAATGGGCTTGGGGAAAGAAGGCAACGCAGAGAGGAGAGGAGGAAGGTTACTTAACACTAAGGATGCTTGAAAAAGCCATAGGGAAACATATACTCTCATGTTTACATACAAACACACACATGAAATGTACATATTTGTAGTTTAAATAAAGTTATGTCACTTGGGGTGAAAATGATCCCTCCAAGAGCCATCTATAGACTTGCTAATAACACCCCAATGCTAGGTATGGGAATCATTTCTTCCATTTGTTGGTTAGGGGAGCCCAAGAGTCTCCAATAACATTACATTACAGGCTATTTTGCATTTGCTGTCTCCCAGAACTTCAAGGTAAGATCCTACTGCTGAAAACACCACTTTGGACACAGGGCTCGGTGGAACTGAGCTGGAATCAACCTGGCAACTTCTTCCCTGAGGAATACCTGAGGAATATTGGAAACTTCTAGGCAAGCTGTCAAGGGAGAAAAGCAGTAAGTCCTACCTGTCTGTAAAGTCTATGGACTCAAACAAGGGCCACCCTGGTAAGCTATTCCCTGCGGTGCAGCGGCAGAGCTGTACAGCAGGTGGCAATGGACAGCCATCAAACTGGATTCAAGCCTTGCTAAGTAGCAGGGAATTCATGCCTGGCACTGGAAATTGAGCCAACGACCCATAACTAATGATGTCATAGACCTTACAGAAGACCCTACTACTGCCATTTTCCTAAACCCGTCTAAACACTTCTCTTTATGTCCATAGATAAGTATAGCTCTTGTTAGTCATCAAGGCTTCTTTGTACAGCAGATGGAGACCATTACAGAGATAGTCACTACTGGTCAAAATGCAGACAACAACTGACTGTTGGGTACTCGGTCTTAGTCGATGTATCTACTATGCCACCCCTGCCAACAAGGTGCAGAGAACATCATGGAAGAAAGGAGGGAGTGATTCTAGAGACAGACAACGGAAATAATAGAAGGGATGTAAACACTGCACATAGACACAGCACATATATATGCATGTGCATGTCTGTATATATACAAATGAAAAAATAAAAAGGAAGAGGTTATAAATTTGAAAAGGAGTTGGGAAAACACAGGAGGAATGAGAGAGATGAGAAGGGGTAGAGATGACGTAAAGACAGTGCTCGTATATGAAAGCCTTAAAAGATTTTTTAAATTAAAATGGATATGACAAGAAGAAACCTGGGCGCTTATAAAATCTAATTTCACCTAGCTTAAAAACACTTCATGGAGACCCTGTACTCCTAGGAATATACAGCAAAATAAATTGGACATTTAAAGATTCTTTTATCTTTATTTTATCTATATGAATGGCTGGTCTGTGTGTATGTGAACCACACATGGGCATTGTCTGCAGACACCTGAAGAGGGTGCCCCATCCCACAGAACTAGAGCTACAGATGGTTCTGAACCGCCATGTGGGTCCCAGGACTGGAGATGAGGGTCCTTTACAAGAGCACCAAGTGCTATTAACTGCTAAGTTAGTTCTCAACTGTATATAATTTAAAAGTTTGAATATAAATTTCATTGTAGATTTAAGACAATATCCTATGAATGAGAGAAGTCATCACAAATTGCAACAGCAGAAACTCATATATGAAGCTCTATGTGACGGCTTAGAAAAAGCTGAACATTGATTTTTCTCTTAAATGCTCACAGTTCTTCTATTTGACATTGAAATATAACAATAGTACCTGTTTTCTTAATATTTAAAGATTGCTTAACTACTGTTATATTTAAGCTGCAGTAAAGTGCTTACTCTGGGAGCCATTTGACTGGACGGGAGCTAGGGATCGCTGTGGTCTCGATGATGGTTTTGGAGGTAATTCTTTAGCCTGGAAGACACAAGAATAAATACACAAAGTTTTAAAAATCTGCTTTTACTTACGAGGACGGATGATTTTGCTTCTAGCCTGTTTACTGAGCAGGTTTCATTCTCTCCGTTTATTATCCAGGTTCCCAGAAACTCATGTGTATGGACAGGACTGAACGTGAGACTCTGCTGTGGGTTCATCCAGTTTGTACTTGCACTTGAGACCTCTCCCCTCTGACAATCGTGCGTGGTCTAATACACGACTGCACTTAAGGCCCCTCCTCTTTGGACATCTATGTGTGCTCTGCAGGGGCTGGAAGTCCAGTGATGTGGTCACGGGAACAGTCAGCAGAGAAAGGCGGTGATAACTTCAACTCTATACTTTAATTTCACTCGGCACAACAGGGCTCAAGTGGAGACCGAGGGAAGAGAGGTTCAGCTGCTATTGGTTCTCTAACGTTACCAGACTTCATCTTAAGAGACATATGATTATAGAAGACAAACTATTCTTAAAATATGTACAATGTCAAAACTTTAGGGCATTTTCAAGGACTTTACATAAAGAAATCATAAAGGAAGCTCAGTATATCAATGGGAGCTTGATAGCAGAGATCGTGGGTCCTAAGACTGAAGCGCCTTAAGCCCACGGAGACAAACAGGAAGCCTTTCGACAGCACCTTCTTCTGCTCCCGTGCTGCCTTCCTCAGATTGATACGTTGCCCTTCATTTTCGTACTTCTCAGTAAAGGAATTGAGAATTTCATAAAGATCTTCGGCTTGAGCAGGCTGTGGCACATCTCCAAACAAAATGTCATAAGCTCGAATGTCCTGACAGTAAAATCTAGTAAACACAAAATTAAGAACATGTCTGTAACATATACAGATGTGCACTGGAGGTAAACATAGGACATTCACATATATGGGTAATTACTCTTATGAAATCCATCAGATAACACAAGACTTACCCCGTGTCTAATCCTTAGATACACACCAAGTTCACTTTCTAAATCAACGAACATAAATATTGATATGTACTTTTCTTCATAAAAAGCATGTCAACAAACACACACACATTTATAAGGAAACACATAAACATATAAAGTACACATATTTTCATAAGATTTATCTTTATGCTTTGCTACAAAATAATTACTATACATGGCTTTATGATTTCATTAAAATCCTTGCTTTTATCAAAATCAAACATCTGTCTTGCGAGTTTTAAAGACTTGCAGTTCTTTAAGGGATTATGTGTTGTAGTTTACCTAGGACTTAGCTGAGCTCTAGGGAGAAGACTGCCAAACACCTATGATTACGAGTTTCTAAAAGCATTCTCAAGTTCATGAAAGTGGATGGACACATCACTCTTGCATCTATAAGGTAAAGACTTTTGTGAGCCTTCATTTCCCTCATTCAGACTAGCTCTGGTTTATATGTAGGATAGCAGCATGATATTATACTCTTGAAAAAACTGGTGTGAAAATTCACTCCTACTGGTAGGGCCCTGTGGGTCACCAAGCCCTTGGGCTTGTGATTCTGGTATTGCTGGTGTGATTTCTCAGACCCACTGGAGGAAAAACTATTCAGACGCGAGATTAATGAAGCTCCGAGACAGCAACAAATAGTTTAAAAATCAAACTGGGTTTTGAATCAAAATTGGTCTTTGTTATGGAAGAAGACAAACCCACAGTCTGGTGATAGGAACTCCTTCGCAGCGAGGCACTCCTAACCGACCCACAGTCTGGTGATAGGAACTCCTTCACAGCGAGGCACTCCTAACCGACCCACAGACCATCTGCTGTGCTCACTATGAGGCATGCTAATGTCATACTGTTACCTATTTCAATGTTCCCGGCCATCCATTTATGGCTGTGCTTATTAGAATGCCAAGGCCCCCCTCCTTTGCAAAAAACCAAACAAACAAACAAAAAACCCAAAAACCACATATCTACAATTGATACATGTCATGACTGCAATCTTATTTGGCAAAAGAACACTAAGGAGGAAGAGCGGGTAGTTGAAATTATTGGTAATAAAAATGTACCATGTTTTGCTTGTTTTTTCACTCTGTTTTATTTTCACAAGCATATACTACTTTTTGGCCTGCTTTATTATATTTTATGTATTTGCCTGTGTATCTATGTGTACCACATGACCACCTGGTGCCCTCAAAGGTAAGAAGAAGGGATTTATTTCTTGGAACTGGAATTATGGTTGGTGATTATGAACCACCATGTGGGTGCTGGAAACCAAACCTAGGTCCTCGGTAAGAGCAACAAGTGCTTTAACTGCTGTGCCACCTCCCCAGTCCCAAGACATACGAATTTCATGTTAAAAGTTTTAAATATAGACCTTGCTGCATTTAAGTGATTATATAAGTGTACTCATAAACTCCTAAACCATGACAAATTTTGAAGTCTTATCTTCTCATCACACACTTTAAAAAAAAAAAAAGTCGAAGTCACTCTGCATGAACTTACTTCCGATTGGTCTCTTTCCTTTCAATCAAACAACTTCCTTCTAGGGAGATGCCAGCAAAGAGGCCCCGGGATTTGCAGTAAGTGAAGACAGCTGCAGAGCTCCTCAGGGACACATTTCCTTCCAGGTTCCTACAAAAGAGGGCAGACCAGGATGACTGTTCATCACTCGGCCACAGGGTCTGTGTTCTCAGGCCATGGACCAGGATGACTGCTCATCGCTCGGCCACAAGGTCTGTGTTCTCAGGCCATGGACCAGGGTGACTGCTCATCACACTCGGCCACAGGGTCTATGTTCTTAGGCCATGGACCAGGATGACTGTTCATTACTCGGTCACAAGGTCTGTGTTCTCAGGCCATGGACGAGGATGACTGCTCATCACACTCGGCCACAGGGTCTGTGTTCTTAGGCCATGGACCAGGATGACTGTTCATCACTCAGCCACAGGGTCTGTGTTCTTAGGCCATGGTTTTCTTTGTCTACAGCTTTCAGGTGGCTTGAAGAGAGGCAGTTGTGGAAGAACGTATCACACGGAACGGCTGTACAAGGGCTGATGGCCTGGTGGGATTGCACTGGAGAGAGGCATTTGGGAGCTAGCCCTCTCAACCAGAGAAATGCATCCCAAGAGTGCTGAGAGTAATGATTCTTCTTCCGTAGAACATTGTCAGATGGTTTACTGTGTAACTTCCATAGACTTCTAAATCCCTAGCCTGATTACTAACCCAAGAACAGTGTTCCATTAACAGAGAAGGAAAACAATGTTACCGTGTTATAAACACTGCTCAATAGGAATTCAACCGTTTCACATCCTAATAATTCAGTTTGAGAAAAACCTTTTATTTTTTTATTTCAGAACACTGACGCCCTTTATCAGTTAACAAAATTTGCCTACACTTAGCTTCATCAAAACTACAGTAAGATTTATGTCAATTCAATGGGAAAGCACGGCCCGTACTTGTGAAAAACTTGATTTCTTCTTGTGTGTTCTGGGCTCAGAGTTTATTCCACTCACTGTTTCCTTTCTCTCCTTTATTTTTGTAAATGTCTTGTTTGAGAGACCTTTCATCATCTGGCAATTGTAGAAATCCTGCTTGTTCATTTTTATTCAAATTCCTTCTCAATATGCCCCAAACTGTGTCTTTTTAAGTCTTTAGAGTTTGGGATCTATTTACTCACCTGCCCAGGGGCCCGACTGCCACAGTAAAGTTCCCTCCGAGAGTCAGGTTTCCACCCTTTGCAAAGGCTTCTACTGCTCGGTCGTAATTCAGAATTATCACCAAATCCGACACCTGAAAGGTAGAAACTCTCTCATTTATAAACAGCGGGGCTGCCTGAGGTAGTGGTGTCCACCTTTAATCCTAGCACTTGGGAGGCACAGGCAGGTCTATCTCCGTGTGTCCAAGGCCATTCTGGTCTGTGCATCAAATTCCAGGCTGCCAGCAAGTCTACTATCTCAGCAAGCAAACAGCAGCTCCCCCCACTAATAAAATTTAGCCAGACCTAAATATTGCATAAAGTAGGCGTTGATTTAAACTCAGCTATTCCATTTGTAATGTAAACTTTCAATGTAGATGGAAAACCAGATATGAAGGGATACCATTACTTTGAGCAGATAAGGCCAGAAGCCAGTCTTGTTCAGGTAATGATGGCAACACCCCATGTGCCATTCAGCCCTCCTGACAGCAGGCAATGCATCTGAGACATTAGTTGCTCTACCTGCAAACTGTCACACTGATAACCAGAAGAGATCAAGAAGGTGAAGACAGAATGTGCTTTGATCTCAAAATTAACTTCTACAAAAATCTACTCTCGTTGGATGCAGAGCGGGGACTTCATGCCAAGCTTCATTCTGAGATGATTTCTATCCTAACTCCATGAGTGACTGCACACTTAACCACCCCGACACTGCATGGTGGGTGTTTGGATGATGCCAGCTGACTTCCATTAGTAATGTCTAAGGAAGTGACTTATTTCTTCTCTAAATAAGAATAGGAACGAGAATAAGGTTCAAGTGACTGGTTAGGTCAATACAATATAGAGTTTGTTTTTTCTAATTCACAATGGCCATAGTTAGACAAGAAAACGGGCATCACCCATAAAGTGAGAGGCCTTATTGGAGACCACAGTGCTGACTCCCAGTTCCCCCCCCCCTTAGGGTAATATATTAAGTGGCATACTGATTTGATTTGCTACCCTGAAGTCTTAGCACAGAACCTACCTCACCTAACTGTCAGGAGGATCAGATACCCACATCATCTGTATCTGTAAAACTGAAGACATATGGCAAGTGCTAAGAAACTGGGTCAAAATGGGAACTCTTTGGGTATGAACTCCACTAAATGATACTGATAGACGTGCAAGCCTATGTTCTTCTCTGTAATGGTGGCGCGTCACATAGCCATCCTCCACTATCTGAAGAAAAGAAATTATTTGGAAGGCCTATATGGCCACAAAACAGTGAAACACCAGGGCCAAGTAGATCCTATAAGATACCTTGACTTGTATAGTTCTTTACATTTTTAGAAATGGTTTCCAATCAATGTTTCATTCGATGTACAGAAAAATCTTAACATCAGAAATATTCATGATATAAAGAGGTTCCTGATACACGCAGACGTCTTCTCAACTCTTGACAATTATTAGGACCAAAATCCCCCTCCCCGACCCTCAATAAAAGTAGCACTGTCCTAAACAGAAGGACTTTGTCCAGGTAAAGAGAATGGTGAAAGCCTAAAGGTGGGGTTTCTGTTTACCAGAAAAGAAGACCTCCTAAAGCCTACCCTTAACCCTCGAAGAACTTCCCTTAATCTTCCCCCAAAGATCAACGACATTGGTCAAGAGCACCTAGTCTACCCAGACAGCCTGTATCAACCTGCTGATTGCCATACAAAATATGCTTGCTTTTCCAGCATTTTTCTCATCTCTCTGACCCCCTACCCCAGATAGGGTCTTGGCAGTTTGATCCCCATGGAGTGGTCCAGTTGGTAGTTTTTCTGTGCCATCACTTGCACCAACCACTCTTCTTTGACATATGGACAACTTCTGAGAATGGCAGTGTTAAATGGCAGGATGGTTTATCATTTCTTTATTGTTGTTTGTTTGCTTGCTACAGAGTCTCACTCTGCAGCCAATGCTGGCCTTGATTTACAATCTTCCTGCCTTGGTCTCCTGAATGCTAGGATTACAGGCCTGTCCATTATACCTCATTTCTTGTGCAAATTTAAGCACTTCCTAAAGTGATTATATAACCATAACTGTGTATCACAGGCACCTGGAGAGAACAACCTTCCATTGTTTGGTACTTTCACACTCAGAAAATGTATATTTCTTTCCAGAAATGATATATTAATTGCTGCATACTGTCTAGTGTAAGTGTTCTATCTCTGAAGGAAAAGGTTTCCCCAAGAGAAGTGTTGAAGTTCTGAGAAAAAGGCATCTTGGCAGTATGGAGCCAAGAAATATCACAAAGTCACACCATACAACAAGCCTCACACAAGAGACTTCCTGGGAAAGACACAAGAGAGTGGCTGCCTCTGATCCAGAAAGAAGCAGCAGGGGACTGAGCAGGAGGTAGGCTTATACAGGGTTTCTTGGAGGAGGCATTTTCCAGAGTAGAGATTTCCACAATGGGATTGGTGGGTTTTCAAGGCCAGGAATTGGTGGGTTTTCAAGGTCAGGGACTGGGGAGTTTTGGTGGCTTTTCAAACCTGGAAGCAAGTGTGGACTTTTTACCTCACACTTAGAACAGCTCAGGACAGTTAAGAAAGGCAAAGCAGCTCTGAGAGTCTACTTAGGAAAAAGTCAGTCTTCTTCTAATTTACATCTGCTTGGTATTTGGTGTCTCTGAAGTAAGAGTAGGCTGATCCTGCGTCCTTTCTGTGATGCCACTAGTGAAACAGTCAACAGTCAAGGGCACATATGTCTATAGCTGAAAACAAAAGCAGGAAAGTCTTCCTGAGGAAGGCTGAGCAGCAGAGCAACACTGAGATAGTATAAGATAGTACTGGAGAATCTGATAAAAGTTTGGATGTTTTATATAAGAATTTAATTTAAAAGACACAAAATTTTCAATTAAATAAGTCCTTAAACATAAGAGCTAAAAAAATGACAGTTCCAACAGTAAAATTTAAGGGATATGCTCTAAGGTGTCGTTTCTCTAAGCTACTGTTGTGGGGTCTGTGTCAGTTCCCTGGGTTGCTAAGGAAGTCTTCCCATGATCTCAAGTTTGGCTCGGGGTAACGCTTGACAACTGGCAGCTAGCCATCAGTCCCAACTGTGAGCACTGGTAAGAAGCCTGGGGTACTCCTCCTTTGGCTCCTGTTGTGTAACACTGAAACATTCCTTCCTACTGGAAGCTCCTTAAGCAGGAAGGTAAAAAACTCAAAGTAGCTCCAGGAAGTCCCTGAAACTGACTAGATTTACTAGGCTCCTCCCTGAAAGAGTAAGCAACAAAAGCTTAAAGTCTGCCTCAAACAGATGGAAGATGAGTGGCAGAGAAGACTCTTGGAGGAGAAAAGCTGCTGTGAGGGCTAAAGTTATGTTTTATGTTTTAATTACTATGCTTAAGAGATCTAGAAAACAAAAAAGGCTTCTAACCTGTAAGTCCCACTTGCCCGAAAACAGATAACTTCCCGGAATGCTGGGGGTTGTTTATGTAATACAAGCCATGTATTTTCACATCAGTAAACAAGGTTGGCTCTCTAAACTGCACGCGATGTGCTTGATTTTATGTAAGTGGAAGGAACACAGACAAGAAGACAGAGGTGGGAAGTACGTAGCCTTGTGGGTTTTACCTCTATAAACCTCTACTTAAATGCAATTTAGGGTCACTCTCTGGGAATCTTAGGTATGAACCTGGCCAGCATCTACTTTCCTGGCCAGTATTTAATAAACCCTGCTTCAAATTTGGCTCAAAAGCTGTGGTAGTGGTCTTCTTCTCAACTGGTGGGATTGTTGCTGCAAAGAAGACTCTTGAGATCAGCTACCTAGAAAAAAAAACCCTAAAACCAAAAGACCTGCCTTGAGGAAGTTTAGACCAACTGAGGCACCTGCACAGGGCACCCTCCAGCCTGCTGCACTGTCTATAGGCTGCAGCGCGCTGCAGGTTCGCAGCTTTGTGAGCTGGCACCCATGCTGGGGTGGACTTTGATGACGCACCTGTCTCTGAGTCATTTCTGCTCCTGTAATAACCCTCACCCATGTTACTGGAAATAACCGCAATAAAACTCACTGGTTCACCAAGGTGGACTTTGGTGTTGTCTGTGTTTTGGTCTGCTGTGGGTTCCCTATTTGGAGCGAGTAGATGTGTATTGCATCTTCCCAGAAAATGTTGTCACACAGCACTCCATATTCACACCTCACAGAAGACACATTGTTCTTTCTTTCCATTCTCCCTCACCCACCACCCCTACCCCTTGGCTCTGTCTGGAAGCTACGTAACTTCCCTCTGGTCTTGTTATTTCAGGAATTCATACATTTCTCACACCTAATTCTGAGGCATGGATATTCTCACTACACAAATCAGAGAGTGGTGCGGGAGAATTATCTGTATTCTGTCAATCATGTTTTAAATAAACAATGATTGGATAGGCAGGAAGTATAGGTGGGTCAACCAGACAGGAAGTAGAGGCAGGGCAATGAGAGCAGGAGTATTCTGGGAAGCAGGACCCCCCCCCCACCCCCCGCCGTCCACAGTCTTGCACAGACCACCAAAGAAGCAAGATGTGAGCTGCCCCGCTGAGAAAGGTACCGAGTCATGTTGCTAACATAGATAAGAATAATGGGTTAATATAAGCTACAAGAGCTAATAAGTAGCCTGAGCTAATGGGCCAACCAGTTTTATAACTTACGGAGATCTCTGTGTGATTTTCTTTGGGACTTGCTGGCTGTGGGGAACTGGGTAGGACATAAACCCCGACAAGCAGGCCCCTTCATGTTACAAGATATAGGGACTGTCTCACAACATCTTCCAGTCTTCACTCAGAAGCTCTATCCTTAGGTGTTTGAAGACTAAACTCTGAGCTCTGACAATAAAGGCTCAGTAATATTCCCTCCGTAAAAGACTGAGTTGGCCGGTGCCCCTACCACTATCAAATTCCAATGACAAAAATTCAGTAGCTTATTGCAAGCTCTGTCAGTCAGACTATTCTAAGATGGGCTGAAGGCATTTTTAGTGCTCTGCACTTTGCTGTCATTTTCCTACAAAGAAAATGTTAAATGTACTGAACACAAATCATGGCATTATCTCCTTACATACTGACTTTTAAAACTGTACTTCTTGGAACAGATTACCTATTAGGAAAACCAGGAAGGAATGCTGTGATCACTGAATAAATGTGTTGATGAATGTATTGTTTGGTCCCGCCCCACCCCCTGGCTCTTTCTAGGCATTTCCAAGCTTGCTTCTTCTGAGATAAGCTTTTTTACCTACTTGGGACTTCTCTGTCCTAACCCTGTGGCCTACCTTTGTTATTACCCCACCAAACCTGGATAATCTTATCAATTATAAGTACACATCAAATCAAGGAAAAAGAACAACTTGATGACATCATTTCCTAAATTCCTTTGGATGCCTCGGTTTCGTGGTTTTGTGTTTAATGTTTTAATGGCTACTGTAAGTTCTAAAAGGGTCAAAGGGAATATATATATATATATATATATATATATATATATATATTTATTAGAGGTTTGAGCCAAAATCTCCAAGCCTCATAGAATCAGTATATTATCATGTAACTTTATGTTTTTGTAAGATGGGGAATACTTATTAAAGTTTCACACTGTTTGCCCCCATTTGCAGACAAACACAAACTGACTACAGATACATATGTAACTGGGTTTCATTTTATAGAGATTAAATGTCTTTTGGGTACAGATAATAGTGAAAAAAATTCATCTGCTTAGCTCACTGAAAAGCTGTTTCTGGAGACAGGTTTTGGTACACCCACTTCAGACCCAAACATGTTTGTCTCAAAGTTTCCTGCAAAGATTCTGTTCTGGGTCAGGTTGGCCCTTTGACTCTGTGACAGGGAAGAGAACAGAACAGCCCAAGAAAAAGGCACTGTATGCTTAAGAACAGCTAAGAAATAAACCGCTTGCAGATCAAGGTTACCATTATTGATCTCAAGTCATACAGGTGCCTATAATAATGGGATGCTTATACATGGAAAGGACAAAAGGAACTCTGTCTAAAATCTTTCCAAAAAAAAAACCTCCAGCATCGCAGTCAGCAAAATTCTCTTGGGTGCTATAAACATCAATTTATCCCACATGCTGTAGAAATCATAAAAACTATCTTATATTTTCTCTAAGGTTTACTTGGAAACTTACAAAGCCTAAAGGTTTATCTGTATGTGCACAGGCAATATTAATTTATTACATTACTCTTAAGCATAATTTAGATTCAATCTTCTTTTCTTATTAAATTTATTCATTTCACGTGCACTGGTGTTTTTTGCCTGCATGTAAGTACAAGGGTGTCAGGTCTTGGAGTTATACACAGCGCTGAGTTAGCAGGTGGGTACTGGGAATTGAACCCAGGTCCTCTGAATGAGTAGCCAAGTGCTCTTAACCACTGAGCTATCTCTCCAGGCCCCTGAATCTTCTTTTACTAAAATGATACTGTGCAATGTCTTCCTAGCTGAACAACCAACTGCCTGCTTAAAATAATCACAGCTAGGCTTGTTAAAATGTTCATATTCCTTCAGGAAAGGAGGAGACAAACAGTCATTGGGCCTTCACCCTAGTAGCCAGCGTTCCTCCCAACCAGCTGTATGCAATTAGGCCTTAACTGCATAAGGCCTCAAGGTTTTCCAGAGGAACTAAGGTATACGTCTTAGAAAACCAAGCATAAGGGACAGGTTAGGGGCATGTCTACCTGTGCAGCTAGGGGGAAGCTGCTCTACCTACTAGGTGAAGGCTCTACTGGAAATAGATACCTCTCAGTTAACATGCTCTGCCCCCGGGGAAATTTCTTACAACAAATGAACAATTTGTGTGATATTGTTATGTCACCTAGCGTTTAAATATTTTTATTGTTTTATCAAGGGGATTTACATGTAAAGGTTAAGATGGCTGGACACTTTCAGGACTCAGAAGAAAATATGACTTGTCATCTAAATCAATTGCAATCTAAAGCTCACTGAATAATTTCACTTCACTCAGGCTTTTTACAAATAATGCTTACTCATTCAAGGTCATTGATGTCTCTAAAGTTCTTACTGAGATAGATGTAACTACTCTTTCTCAGGATCAGTGAGACAACACCAAAAACAATGACAAAAGATATAGATTTGGGGATATATCTCTGAAAAGAGATTATATGAATAAAGATGGGGACACATCCATCAAAGCTTGAAGCCAAGTCACAGAAGGTCTGAATATATTGTAGAGGGGAATCTGGAGAAGCAATGGAGAAGAAAAGAGCAAATCCTTTACAGCCAGCATCTCCAAACTCACATATGAGGAAACTGTACTTATCCCTGTACTGATTTAAATACATGGGGAATCTTGCACTTAAGCCTGCTAGCCGATTGGTATGGAGTCTGAATCTCAGTTCAATTGGCCATAGCCTTTACCCTGGACTTCAATTGTCCTCTTAACAAAGCTAATCCCAGGGCTCCCCACTCACAGCAACAGGAATTAGACTTTCCCTCCCCAGCATGGAATTCCTGGGGAACTGCTAATTATTTAGTGTCTCCAGTTTAGGGCCTCTGTTTCAAAACTATTTTGAAATAATAAAAATGGTACGTAAGATGAAATCAGCAACCAGATAATAATTCAAAACCACATTTCAAAAATTAATGATTACCTTTCCTGCATGCTAATGAGATAAATTCCAGTAGTAATTTTATGGAACCATGGATATAAGCTTCATGATTCAAACTTTGTAAATGGCAAAAACTTTAAAAGAGAAAATTATAGTGTGTGCCATTCCAAGAGCTTTTTATGCATACATCAGTCTCTCTGATCATCAACATAAGCTCCAGGGAAGGCCAGTTTCATCTCTATGCTGTAGATGACGAAAGCAGGATCCAGAGCAAAAGTGGCCTCCGATATCACAGCAAGACGGTGCACTAACCAGAATTTGAGCCAGCACCATCCTCTCCCACAGTGCAGTCCAACCACTAACCCATGTTGCTTTTGAAAAAATAAAGTACAGCATTTAATAAGATGTTTGTTGAGTATCTTTATGTTTCATTATATTTCCTTTATAAGGCTATTAAAATGGAAAAAAAATCCTCAATTTCCAAAGAATGATCTTGCAACTCTCCTTTTTGATCTTTAGTCTTTTGAAATGTAAGCTATTTGTTATTACTTAATTTCTCAGTATTTTCAAAACAAATGGCACTTGACCTAATGCTCAAAGCAGGCTCCCATGGGGTTGTAGTGTTAGAGGGCATAGGGAATATAAAGATTGTAAAAAGAACATTGGAAGTTCTGGAAAGAGATAAAGGCGATTGTGGAAATAGGTGTGGGGCTAAAGGAAGAGGGGTGGTGACATCAGAACTGGAAGTGTAGGTAGCTAGCTAATCTACAGATAGGAAATTACCAGAAGGTGGCACTGGGGGCTACAGCTGCTGGGAAAATGCCTCCAAGGTTCCAAAGCGCTGTACATGGTGCAGATAAAACCCAGAAAAGCAGAATTCAAAGGCTTTGTGTTTATGTTGACTTGAATATATACAACAATTTATAGAGAAGACCAAAGCCAGCCAAGTTCATAGAATGGGAGGGAAAGAGAGAAGAGGAGCGGAGAGGGAGGGGGAAGCAACCTTCCACAGGTGTAAGAAGCAAAGTAAGGGCATAAAGAAGCCTTAGTTACATCATATTGAGTTTGGGCAGTCTTTGGGGATCGTAGCAATGGTGTTGACAGCCCACTTACCTCTATTCCTATTTCAAATCCTCCACCAAGGCCAGCAATCCCAATGGCTGAAGGTGCAGACCATTCTGACAAAAACAGAGAAAAACATTGTAACATAAAACATCTGTCATATGAAAAAAAATAATATTTTCTCGAAAGGCTCATACATCTTGTATTTTAAAATCTTTTAAAATTTAAAGGTTTTTTTTAAAAGATATTAAGTATTAACCAAGATTGTCATACTCACAAATTCATGTGTCCCATGCTTTCCCTAATAACTCATATTAAACTAAATTGTGATCCTATTATCCACTTAACAAATACAATACTGATAATTCCTACTATCAATATTTTTAGAACTTAACTGCCAAGGTTTGAGTCACAATTGCATCATAGACAGAAGTGATCAAGAGTCAAGAGTTTGTTTCAATAACTACCAGAGATGGGTAACACAACTCTACTGCGTGGCCGTGACAACCGGTTTCGGTTCCTCTGTGCACAAGAAGTTTCCTTTATAACTGTAAACTAAGCACAGTAATTCGACTTGGAATTTTAGGATTGATGTGCACTTACTTTTCCTGTATAGAAACAAATCTAGGAAAGCAATTTTTAGATTGGTATTGAGAGTGTTTATAAATGATACTTTGTTCGTGCTGACCTTCCTTTGCTAGGGAGCTCATCCTAGACAAGCATTAATCATGGATGCGTCTAGAATTAACCTGCCAGTGTTTGAAGAGTTTTGATGATAGGATCCAGTACCTGAAACTCCCAAAGCTGCTTTTCACTCCTATGCTAAGAAATGCCTACCTTCCAGACCTGTTCTCTGGGATCAGGAACTTGCCTGCCTTATTTGGGCAGCCTTTCGGCTAGTCTCAGCAGGTGTATAGCAGCTGTTCTGGAAGAACAGGGCAACGAAACTTCGCTTTTGAAAATAATAGAAAAATGGAGTGCAGTTAGGAGCAGGGGTGGCGAGGTTGGTAGAGGCAGACCCTCACTTATTAGTGACAAAGCTGTCTTGTCAATGGATAGCAGACAAATCTGCAGAGCCGTGCTGTGGAGACTAGTCCTCCTCTAACAGGGACCCTCTGGGAAGGTGCCGAATCTGTGTTTGGTGTCCCTGCTGAGGCGTCTACCCTTGTGCATTTGGGCAATATGTCAAAAAAAAAAAAAAGGAGCTACATATTTTCCAATTTTTAAATATTTAGGATTTTTATTATTTTAAAATGTGACAATTAAAAAAAACAAACTAACTGGAGTGTTAAGGCCTTTTATTAAAGAGCCAGCAAAAGAAAAGTGGCTGGTGGCCACAGCACTGGAGTTATGATGAACCCTAGTACCCAAGGCCACCCTGAGTTACAAAAATAGCTACGGCTGTTGGAGGAGAACCCCACTGTCCCTGCAGAAACAATGCCTCCAGCCCAGGGATCTGTTTACCAATACCTGTGCTTACTACCTCAAAGTATAAATGATTGCTGTTAAAACAGTTACTGACGGAACAATGTGTTCCCTTACATGAGTAATAACACAGGTCGAGTTGAAAAGGCACCTTAGTTGGTTCTGACATGTAACTAAGCATATATATACTAAAAGCATTGGATTTTAGGATTCTTAGCAAATGCATTTCAGATTTGTCTCTGACAAATCAAACAACAGCTTTTAGCCTAGAAAGAAATGTTATAACATGGTTCTGCTAGGAGGAGGGGGGTAAGTCTTCCAGAGAAGCAAAGAAGTTTACAGATTACTTTCATAAACAGAAGAAACTGGCTTTCCCACAAAATTGAGGAGTAAGAACTCATATTCAACAAGAGAAATGTGCATAGTATGTTCAAGGTAGTGTTCCAAGGGAAGCCTACAAAATGTAATGTAACAGTCAGATATACCTTGAGTACCACCGAGTAATAACCATAGGCTAGCTTTCCTGCTTGCTTCCTGACATGCACTACACATTTCAAGAAGAAGCAAATGGTGGATTCGCAGGTCATGTTCTCCATGAGAGCATCCACAACAGATGAAGAGAACACAGAAGATTTAAGGTCTCCACAAGTACCAACTTACTTCCATCTGGAAGACGCGCCAGGACAATCCCACTGCCTCCCCTGGCTGTCACCAGAAATCCAGCTTTAATCACAGACAACACTGCAAGTCCTTTAGCTTTTGCAATCACGTGGGCTGCACACAAACAGAATAATAATGACTGAGAGGCCGCTTGCGACTGAGCTTTGATATTAGAGCTATATAGCTGAATTCATTATTTTTTTTTTCGGTTGTTCGAGACAGGGTTTCTCTGTGGCTTTGGAGCCTGTCCTGGAGCTAGCTCTTGTAGACCAGGCTGGCCTTGAACTCACAGAGATCCACCTGCCTCTGTGGGATTAAAGGCATGCACCACCACCGCCTGGTTGAATTCATTATTAATAAGAAATTTTGGATTTGACAACAAAATTGATTCGTCGTTTTGAAAGATTTTCCTTTTAAATGCATGATCTGTTTGAACTGCTACTTTATACTGAAACCCTAATTCTCCTTACAATACCAGTTTATTCCCATTTAAGAGTTCACTTACAATGAGAGCTATAACTGCATTCACTAAAGGCACAGCATCACCGATATTCACTCTGCTTAGTCGCAAGGGGAGCTCTGAGTTTGGTGAGCGATATGAGCATATGTGTGGACACCGGAGTTAAAGCCACACCCTCAGCACTGGCTAGGTACCATTTCAGAGTTAACGCTATTGTTGATGATGGCTTTGGACAAAAAATAACAGCATCATTTAGGAGAACAGGATGCCACTTACGGAATTCATCAGAATTACAGACCAAATTCTCTTTGGTGCCTTTTGCTTACACACATGATATTGTTACTTGTAAATACAATTTCCCTATTTGCGAAAAAAAAATCATGAAGTGCTTTAAAAAGCTTAAATCATAAAAATTTACCTGAGAGGTTAGCTAGTAGTTTTTAAAATTTGTTTGTACATTCCCCCAAAATTGAATTTTAAAAAACTGAATGGAGCAGAGACTCAAGGGTTTAGGCTGGTACCTCAAAGCAAAGTGAGGGAGGATTTTTCTCTTAATTGGCACTTTGTCTGCCTACTGGAAGAGCGTCTGCACAGTGCTGTCCCTGAGGTCTGAGACGAGGGTGGTCTAAATGTCTGCTTGTTTCCATAGGACAGCTGTGGAGAAATGCTAAGCAATGTGGAAAACAAGCATATTTAGAAATTTACCTACCAGGAATAATCTTATCAGGCCCATTTCTGGAAGTTATTTCTGTGAATTCTCTTAATATCTTGGCAGCCTTCTTTGCTTCTGATTTCAGATTAGAAGGTATAGGGTTATTCACTGAAAGATAAAAAAAATAATACTGCAGTAGGGGAAAAAATCTAAGTTTTCGAATGTATTTCGGCTTCATTCTTCTCCCATACCATTAAGTATTTAAAGTCAAAAGTTACCAAAGAGAATGACTTTGAGGCCTCATTTATTGATTAGCTCATCTCTGTTTCCTTAAATTGTGAAACCTTGCAGATGCTAACACTAAACTGGTATGGGAGAATTATCTGTATTCTGTCAATCATATTTTAATAAAACGCCGATTGGCCAGGCAGGCAGTATAGGCGGGAAAGCCAGACAGGAAGTAGGGGTGGAGAAAAGAGCCTGGGAGTATTCTGGAAAGCAGGAAGCTCCCTCAGCCAGTTCTGCCCAGACCACCAGAGAGGAAAGTTGTAAGCTGCCCAGCTGAGAAAGGTACTGAGCCGTGTGGCTAACGTAGATAAGGATAATGGGGTAACATAAGTTATAAGAACTAATAAGTAGCCTGACCTAATGGGCCAATCAGTTTATAATCTTATGGAGTCCCGTCTGTGATTTTCTTTGGGGTTTGCCGGCTGTGGGGTACTGGGCCCAACAAGCCGGCCCCTCATGCTACACTAAACACTCAAACTCTCACCAATTATGGAAATATCAGATCTTGGGATCCCAGATGAAAGCTGACTAGCCTTTTCTCCTCACTAAGTATCTTCTCCTCATAATTACATTGCCTTGGAGTTAATAAAAATTTGAATTTGAGGATGAACAAAAGATATACTTCACGATTGTCTTTAATAGAAATAAAATTTGATACAGTTTGGCTTTTCTCGTCAGAAATTTTGGAGATGGTTAGCCGGCACAAGTAAAACAACGAAATTGAGTTAGTATGTCCAGCAATGGATTCCTGCTCTTATACAACATTTTATATTCCCAGTATAAATGTGTTTTTGTCATAAAAGGATGCATGCAACTCTCGAACTCCACAGCATGTTGGAGAAGGTAGACTGTAGTGATATTGTTTGTGTTTCAGCAAATAAAGCTTTCCTGAACATCAGAGTGCAGAGGTAGGCCATTAGAGGCCAGGCAGTGGTGGCACACACCTTAAACTGCAGTACTTGGGAGTCCCACGCCTTTAATCCCAGCAGTAGGGACATGGAGACAGGAAGGAATATGGCTGGGCAGAGAGAGGAATATAGGAGGGAAAAGGCAAGAGCTCAGGGTGGTCTGAGGTTTGGTGGAGACAGACGGAGTCTGGAGATGTGGTCTGAGGACAGGATCGCCCCTTCAGTCTGAGCAATAGAGGTAAAAAATGCTCTAGTGACTGATGCTCTGCCCCTCTGAGGGGCATTAACATTAGCATTAACCCCATATCTGACTCTGGGTTTTTATTATTAGTACCGATTAGAATTGGTGCTAGAGGGGACCATTCTCTTGTCTCTGGATGAGCAAACCTAAGCATGGACAAAGTCCAGGTGAGCCCATCAGCTGTGGTCCTCATCTGATTGTCTGTGGTCATCACGTATTTCAGATGGGAAACCTTGAGGATGTCCTACCACCATTTCACCTGGTGATGGAAGCACACTAAAAACAGAAGGAATGACCAAGTAATACAAGGGAAAGACTTTCATTTAGCAAAGCATAGAGTTGTCTAATTAAACAGTATGGATTCACTCTGGCAGCTGGTGTGTTTGAAATATGTAATTTATTTTAAAAGTGGGAACTGAACTAGAGCCATGGCAGAATCTTCCTTGTTTTCCTTGGAATGCTAACAATTTGATTTTTTGTGGCCCAACACAGGAGCATCAGCAAGAATAAAGTTATGGGAAACTCCATCCCACAAACCGTCAATGGTACTTTTGGGTAGAGAGGTACATCCTCAGTTTATAAAATCAAAATGAAGTGTATATCCTGTGTGTTGTACTCCTTTTCCATCTCAACATATGTGTGGCATTCTGTATTTTTTACCCAGTTGCATTTCAGAGTATTTAAATATTGCTTCTCAAATTTACCTGTCTTGTTGATGAAGTTCGGACAATAGTCCCATCTCCTTTAAACCCTCCTCGTTTGCCCATCTGTAGCATTAAACGGATTTCTCTATATAAGTTTTGTCCGTATTTGAATTTCACATAAGTGACAGTCAAAAGAGTCCAACCTTTCCTAACTACCTTATTTGATACACCATAAAATAAGTGGGAATCATATATGTTGGGCAGAGATCAGAGATTCATCTTTTTGTCTCCAGCCAGGCTGTATTCTTGTATGTGAGAACATAATTTAGTCCTCCATATTTTCTGAAACAGTTTTGTTGTTTCCAGTTTGGAGCTAATCCAAACTAGACTGCTATATATAGTCCCATGCTGGTCTGTTGTGCAGAAATGCTTTATTGCTTTGGGGGGCCAATTACATTCAAACTACCAAACCATGATCAGTGTGTGAGGGCCAATGTGGGATTAAAGCTGAACTAGCACTTCTTTTACAAAAGTGTGTTTGGACATTGAAGTTAAGAATTGAAATGGTATCTTGATGGATCTTTCCTTTGATGAGTATGTAGTGTCATTTCCCATCTCTTTTGATTAGGTTTGAAGTCTATTTTTCCAGATATTAAAATGCCTTTATTAGCTTGCTTCTTAGGTCCATTTGCTTGGAATAACTTTTCCATCCTTTTACCCTGAGGTGATGTCTATCCTTGTTAAGATGTGTTTCTTGGCTGCAGAAGAAGAATGGATCCTGCTTTACTGCCCATTTTGTTAGTCCAAGTCTTCTTATAGGGGAAGTAAGACCATTGATATTGAAAGATATCAAAGATCATATTATTGATTCCTGTTTGTTTGTTTGCTTATTTGTGTGTGTGTGTGTGTGTGTGTGTGTGTGTGTGTGTGCATGCCTCCTTTTTTGTTTTTACTGTTCTGAGATTCTTTATTTCCTGTATTTTCTTGGGTATAGTTAACCTACTTAGGTTTGAGTTTCCCTTCTAGCATTTATGTAGGGCTGGATTTGTAGATAAATATTGCTTAAGTTTGGCTTCATCATGGAATATCTTATTTTCTCCAAAGTTTTCTGGTTATAGTAGTTAATATACTATATTTACCTTTTAATTTTAATTATTAATTAATTAATAATAATTAATATTAATATATTACTCCTTTTCCTTTTTTGTAGCTTTTAATATTCTTTCTTTATTCTGCACATTTAATGTTTTGATTATTATGTGCTGAGGGGGCTTTCTTTACTGGTCCAGACTATATGGTGCTCTGTAAGCTTCTTGTATCTTTATAGGCATTCCTTCTTTAGGTTAGGAATATTTTCTTCTATGATTTTGTTTAGAATATTTTCTGGGTCTTTGAGCTGGGTTCCTTCTCCTTCCCACATTCCTATTAATTATTTCATAATGGCTCAGATTTTCTGAATGTTTTGTTTCAAAAATTTTTTTAGATTTAGCATTTCCTTTCACCAATGTATCCATTTCTTCTACCATGTCTTCAGTGTCTGAGATTCTCTCTTCCATCTCTTGGGTTATGTAGTTTTAGGTTTTCTTTATTGATTCTAGTTCCACTTTCAGGTGTAACTGGAGGTTTCTCTTCTGCCTGCTAATTCCTGAAGAGCCACTCTGAGGCTTAATGTTAATCACAAATTGTTTGGCCTATTAGCTCAGACTTATTATTAATTCCTTTTACAACTTAAATTAATCCATTTCTATTATTTCATATTTTTCCACAAGGTTTGTGGCTTGTTACCTCACATCTCACTTCTCCAGGGGGCTGCTGGTATTTTCCCATTCCGCCTTCCTTCTCCTTTTATCTCTGCTTGGATTTCCCGCCTGGCTCTCTTCTGCCTGACTATTGGTCAAATCAGCTTCTATATTAACAGTGGTAACAAAACATATTCATAGCATACAGAGGAGTATCCTACATCATCCAGGCCTTAAACAGTTTTATTCATCTCCTTCCACTGTTTGTTTTCATAAATTTTGTTAAGGGATTTATTCATTTCATCTTTAAGGATCTCTATCATATTCACAAAGGTTGCGTTTCAGCTATGTTGGAATATTCAGGGCCTGGCATGGTAGGGTTCCTAATCTCTAGTGGAGACATATTCTTTGGCCATTATTGTGTTTTTACAGGGGCAAATAAGTATCTGGGATTGGGAAGACTGTAATTCAAGGTGCTGATATTTGTCCTCTTCTTTGTTGGGTGGGGGCTTTGTTCCTTGGTTTCTGTTACCTCTCTGTTTCTTAGCAGACAGTATAGTGGCAGTGCTGCCTGCTATGAGATTTTTCTGGGGTCCTAATAGGTGTGGCCACTGGGGTTCTAGATAAACTGTTTCTGAGTATTGAGAGCTGACACTTAGGAATGGGGATGGGCTGGGTGAGTGGCTGAGGGGGTCAACAGGAAGGCAGAAAGCAGGGTGTTCCACCAGGATCTGTTTAGTCATCTGGGAATGGGGGCAGAGGGAGGAGAAGCGACAGCAGCCAGTCTGGTATAGGGCTGAGGATGAGACTGGGGATTGGCCTTGGAGGAATGGAGGGAGCGGTGAAGATCTGTTGTTAGCTTGAAGATCTATTGTTTAGCTGGCTTGCTTCCCTGGTCACAGTGGCCTGCAGGTTCCCAGAGAAGGACTTTTGAGGTTGGGGGCTGGGACAAAGCAATGGATGAGGGATGGGGGAGGATGTTTGGAGGGGAAGATTTGTGTGAGCCACTGGAGATGGGGACAGTGGGGAAGGGAGGTTGCAGCAGGTATTTTGCTACAGAGTTGGGGATGAGACTGGGAGATTGTATTTAGAGGAGCAGAGGGAAAGGAGAAGATTCGCAGTTAGCCTACCTGATACCCTGGTCAGAGTGCTTATTCCTATTTGTTATGGTTCTGTTAAAAAACATACTGCCCATTTAAAAATGTGCATTGTCTTGTTTTGTAAATTATCCTAACATATAATGAATATCTAACACCCAAATATAAATATGTATTTGTGCATATATACACATACATACCTTGAATATTTATCAAAATCATCCATCTGACCATTTTCTCAGTGGCATCATCTTAAACCACGGGTATCATTTCCTATAATACACTGAAAATTTCCTCCTCTATTTTTGCTTCTCCAATTTCAGATCTATTTGTTTATCTGATTTTTTTCCCCAATGTGTCACTGAGGGTTTGGTCCTTTTCTCTCAGCCCATACCACCCTTTGTCTCTTCCTGCATTTGGCTGATAGTCCCTCAAGTTCACAGTCTTATTTTTCTTTCAGATATGCCCTTCAAGGAACAGTGAACTCTTTCCTCAAAATGCTATGCCACCAGCTTCAACTATTCTGCTTGCTTCTCTTCTCGCCATGTCTTTCCTGGTGACATTCATGCCATCTTTTGAGTCCTTGAGCACACGGGACATCCCTGTCTGCATCTGCATCATCACTGTCGTTTCCAGGCTGTCACGGTCATTTCCAGTCTACCTTGACTGCCTTCTCCAGGCTCCAGGTTACATTTTCCTGTTCAGTCACTTCTAGTAGCTTGATGAGTGCTAGACACCTTGACTGTGGCAATTTATGAACGGAAGGTTATACCGTGCTCTAAGTTCCTTTATGTTGGGTGGCTCGGTGGCTTCAGGCTCTGCCATGTCGTGGCTGACTTCCTTCTGAAGCAGTGTTTAATTCCATTTTGAATGCATGAGCCAGGACACTTCAGTAACACATCTGAACATGTAGATACCATTAACTTCCCAGAACCAACAACAAGACAGACTGATAAACTATCCGTGCAAAGTAAGAAGTACCGTCTATGAGCTGACTGGCGTAGATTGGGAACACATGGCTGAAACAGATAAAGCAGAACAGAAAAAGCAGGTTCCTGGCCTTAAGAATGCATCAGACCAATTAAGGATTCAACACCCTCATCTGGATAACATAAAAGCTGAGGCATCTAATACCAGTAACGCCCATTGTCCTGTCTGTCTGGGTGTGGGCGTGAGTTCATGCGGAGTCATTGAAACTCAGACACCTTGAGAATGAATTTAGTCTTTGGTGGCCACAGAGGTCTCCAGTCTCAGTGGACTGAAGACAAGACCCCTCCCCTAAGTCCGGTACCCCCAAAGGCTGTTGTTGAATGAATTCCCACAACAACCCATGATACAGCAGAATCCATCTGCTTATCATCTGACCATTTGGTGAACACACATAGGAAAGGCGGGTGAAAATCTAACTGTCCCCAGGGCTTCAGCTTAGCACATTCACTTCTATGGGAATTCCAATCAAGCCTCCTTGCTGTCAGTTCCCAACGTACATAGATCTGCACATTAGAGACTTGCTTTGGACTGACTTCTGCCTTGAACCTACTAAGCTCTGTGTACCCCTAGCTACGCTTCAAATACATTGGTTAACGCGCTAGTTAGTTTTAACTTTCAACTTGACACCTTGGGAAGACAGTCTTAAAGAGGAATTATCTAGATCAGGTTGGCCTGTGGGCACGTCTGTGGGTAAGAGTCTTGACTAAGCCATTATGGGTTCCCCAAGCAGGGGCTCCTGAACAGCAAGAGAGGAGAAAGCTACGGGAGAACAGGAAAGCAAGATTCCAAGCTTTTGTTTCAGTCTGCTCTTGACTACAGATACGATGTAACCAACTGCTCCAACCACTATGACTTCTCTGCTACAACTGACTGAGGCATGGAATTGGAAACCAGAAGATTTTTTTTCCTCCCCTAAGATGCCTTCTATCAGGGTGGGTTGCTTTAGGATATATCTGGTTCCAGGGGAGGGCTTCTGCAAGTCAGCTGAATTACAAAAGTACTAGGGATTCTGTGAAACTTTCTGTAAGATCATATTGCCTGATCAGTTACAGGCAGTAAATTCCTGTCAGAAAGAACACCTGTGAACTGAAAGTTAGGATAGAGATCCTAGTTCCTGTACTCAGCTTTTAATCTTGAGCCTCTCACGGTTCCGTTTTGCTGTAATGGCAATAGAGCATGGACATGGACTTCCTACCAATGGTTCTGCTAACCGACCGCAAGATCTCCTCAACTTCACATCGCAGTCAGGATCTGAATACCCATAAAAGCCGCTCAATTATAAAGTCAAGCAAACTATAAGGTTTTCTTTTCTGAAGAGAAAAGTGAATATGGGATTTCAAGCCAAGAAAGTAAATTTATTTCAGAAGCAACCAAAATATTTGAATATTTCTAAATTTTCAAATGTCAAACTATTAATATATTAAAAAGAGTTTATAAAAGTTGGGAAGAAAATTTTGCTTTGTAAACGTTATAGCTTCAGTGAACTTTCGATCTGGAAATCATTTTACATACTGACAATTTATTAATAACTCAGGCTAGCAGCCAAAACATGTCATTCACATCTTACTCTGAATAAATTTCCACTGGAGTAACGAAGCTAATCACTCCTTCTAAACTAGAACCAGGGCCAAGACCCAAAACGTGGAGATCAAAGGCCCACTCCTTCTTTTCCTATTAGAGCATGAGATCATAAATTAATAGCACCAACAACCAACTCTCAAAAAACATCAACGTTTTCAAACAAATACTAACAAACATCAACAGAATATAAAAACAGTCTATATAGGAAAAAAATATCTGGAAGTGGCTTTCTAAGTTTTCATTCTGTATTAAGCCATGTCTTAAAATTTTAATTTGCAAGGTTAATAAGAATCAGATAAGAAATCACAGGAATAAGAGCACAACTAGGCTTATATAGTATTTAGAACAGTTGATGAAACCGTCGTAAAAACAAGTCAGGTATCTCAAGCGACGCTGAAGGGCTGCCTTTCGTGCAGAGCACAGCTTTAAAACGCTGATGTCGCCATCTCCCGCCTTTGTTTCTAGACCAATGCAATCTTTCCGAGGCTTGAGTTTTAACTGCCTATTTTGTCTTGACACCAAGCTTGTCAAATCAGTAATTCAGAACCTCTGTTCCTGGTCAGACCATGAATCTCCTTCAGTAAATTTTACAATCAAATTATCCATGTGAACTCTGCTGCTCTTCCCCCTCTCGCACCTGGCTGTGGACGGGGATAAAGAGCTGCGAGCAATGGACAGAGAATCTTTGCCTTCTACCTGCTGCCCAGAGAAATTCAGGGAGTTATTGACTTAGGACAGGATCATAGATACATGCTTGTCTGTCATTTGTAAAAAAATGGAAAAAAATTAATTTGTTTTAGACCTTAAATGGTAAAGAATCCTATCACTTCACACCACCATTTGCAAATCAGAGAACAGACGAGGACCTGTGGCTCTCAGTACTCACAGTAGGCAAATTTTACGTTTAACTACTATCAGTTTTGTGTTTGGAAACACTATATACTTATTTTTTAATAGGAGGAAATCTCCTGAGAATAAAAATAAAAAGAATAAATGTACCGAAGTTTTTTTTAAAAACTTTTTGTAAAGTCAAAAGAGTCGAAGAGTAGTATTGACTCATTTCACAGAAACTGATCATAGAGACCCAGTAACAATTTCTCCTTAATTAAGATGCCATAGACATGATGGAAGTTACTACTTACTCGACTTGAACCTCCAACATAGCAATTTACAAACCACCAGATGCTACTATGGCATTTCAATAACAGGCCGCAGAGTAGAAGAAAACAACACCTTAAAACCAGCCCTGTTAGTCTCTAAACTCTGTGTGCAGCTTTACTGACTCAGTAATCCAAACATTTCCTCACATCTCATGAAAGTACCTGAGCCACAGAACCTGTTCGCTTGATAAACACAGAGCAGGGCAGGGCATTCCTGCGGATGAAGGTGGTTTCTCAAGTTTTTCTTCCCTGCTTTGCTTTAGCGGGGCACTGGTAGCATTTATTGAAGTGAAGATGGCACATTTCACAATTGAGATAACTGCTCGGAGCTCTAAAAAGGAGCATACAGGCACAGCACCGGGACACTGTCCACCCCACCCCCCTTACCAGGGCGTTGCAGAACTAGTGGCCCTGTGGGAAAGACCTGACTCCTCTTCCCCTGGAAGCCCCAAACCCGTGGGAGACCCTTGCCTAAGGGAATATCCCTTCCCAGAGACCCTGTTCTCACAAAAGCCCTACAAATCTCGGCTCTGCATCAAAGGTGCAGCTCTCCCCTTCTGTGTCACGTACACAGGATGCCATTTCTCAAAACAACTTGAAAGCAGAAGGTGGTAAAATATCAGCTATCAGAGAAATAACAAGATAAAAATTAGGCTTCAAAACTGGAAATGCAGGAGGCGTTGTTCGGTAAGGGGCTGACAACAACTGTGGTTCATTCACAGTCAACCAAAACCTTCACGACCGAGAGTGTGGGAACTAATCTTGAGTTCCGAGGATGTGCCAAAGGATCCGTTGAGTGTGAACTTGATGCGTGCGCACAGACAACCCAGGGACTAGTCTGCTTCATTGTCTTTCACAACGCCCTTTGCAAGAGGAAGAGTGACCACAGTACCGACTTGCCCCAGCCGCTCAGACCCGTACTCACTGATGCCCGCCGCTCCGCACGACGCCGGAGCTCCTCACAGCAGCCCAGGAAGAGGAAGGGTTCTCCTTGGCCAGCCTTTCCCGCAGGACCCGCCCAATGGGCACGCACCTGACCCAGGTGAGTGAATAGGTGTACGCCCTGCTGCTGCCAAAGCGATCCCAGTCCTAGAACCTTGCTGAGAACATAGCCAAATCGCGTCCACCTGCCTCATTCCTCTGGCACCTTCTAAACCACCCCCTCTTTTTAATCCGGAGAACACGTCGCTTGTGCAGCGGCTCCGCCTTGGGTCGGTGGTCCAACGGCGGGGGCGGGAGGGAGGGGTCCCTTGCCGGAAGGGCGGTACCTCCGAGCAGAGGAGCGCCGCCCAGGGAGGGTCCGCAAGCCACACTTCCAGAGCTCATTGGTCGCCCTGGCACGTCCTAATCCGCCCTGCACAACACCGTGCCACCGTGACCTTCTCTGCGTTCACTCCGCCCTCTGTCCCTAGGCGTGGGACCACAACCCAGCCCACTTGCAACTTCGGACCCTGGGGCCAGCCCCCGCCCATCAACCCCGCCCACAGGCCACGCCCACAAGCCGTGCCCAGCCTTCCTGGCCCCGCCTCCGGAGGCGCGAAGACGACGGGCGCGGACTGCGCAGGTTTACCAGCAGAACCCTCGCGGTGCGCATGCGCCACGTCCTTACGCCGTCTCTGGGCGCCGGGGTCTGCACGGGAAGATGGCAGAGGTTGGGTCCAAGTCGGTGTTGTTCGTGTGTCTCGGTAAGGGCGCGCCGACCTGACAGTTTTCTTCTTTGGGACCCTGAAATGCTGCCTGGTGTCAAGTTCTGAGTGATCACTCTGGGTGGAGGGAAGCAGAGGCCGGAGGCTGTGGCTGGGCCCGCGCCTAAGAGCACATTCATTTGCCTGATTTTTTTCCATACCCATCCCCCACCTTGCAGTGCTCCTCCGAACCTCAGATCGGTGCAGTTTTGCCCCATATTATGCCTCTGCTGTCCTTCCTACCCTTTCCAAGTCCATGTTACCCTCCCAGATGCCCTTCCTCAACAAACCTTGATCCTGATCCTGTCTCTTCCAAGCCTGTGGCCCCTCTCACTTGGCTCCTCCTCCCTGAAGTCTGTGTCTCCGGTCCCTTGCTCTGTAAGTTACTTTTCTTATCTCGGTGATAAAATATCTAACGAAAGCAATTTAAGGGAGACCAGGTCTGTTTTGCCTCCGTTTGATTCCGGGCTTGCCGTGAGGCAAAGCAGTGTGGTCGCCAGGTGGGCAGAGCCTCAGTTAGAGACTACTCCACGTGGACAGTATGTGGAGGGAGAAAGGAGGCCGGACTGTGGCCCCGAGAGCATGCACTCAGGGATGTACTTTCTTCTGCTGGGCCCCACATTACTTTCCATCGCTCCCCTGTAGTTCCATCATACTGTGGTTATGACCTACTGAGAGTTGTGCTCTCTCATCAGTCGAGGTAGCTATGAAGATTGGTGAAGATAAATCGTCATCCCTGCCCTTCCCTCACGCTCTTCTCTGTCACCTGACTTGTCACCTAACTTCTCCAAACCCTCTCACCTGCCAACTGCTCCGGGTGCTTCATATCTCTAGAGTGACTTTCTAAGCTGGCCCCTGCTATGTTGATGCCCGAAGTTTTGGGTTCCCCTTCATTGAAGGTGAGCCTAGACTGCAGGAAGAACATTCTGACAGGAGTGTCCCAAGCAGGTTTACTTAGTGTCATCTTTGGGTCGCAGTTGCTTTGCTTCTCAGCCGGTGGTCCGTCTGTTCTTTAGATCTCTCAGAAACCTTGGTATCCAATCCCTGGGGCAATCACTCACTTCTACTGCATGAAAAATAAAGTGTGTGTGGTTTTTTTTAAATAATCTTTCAAATACCTTCCAACTCAGAATTTTCATTCTCAGAATTTCCACGCTGATTTTTCTTTACATAATATATGATTAATTCTTTTTTCAGAGTTCTTACCTCATGACCTCCACCCTGAGGGAAAAGGCCTACTTTGCCAACAGTCCAGTTATTGAGGTCTTTGGCCCTTTGCTTTTCCTACAGAGTAGCATGCCTCGTCTTCAAGATAGAAGTAGGCCAAGACTTTTCCTGTCTACCTCTGTCTTTGTCACCCCCCTGTGGGGACTACCTTTACAAAACTGTTGCTGACCTGCTCTGAAGCTGGTTCCTGTGCCTCGAGGGTGTGGTTTTGCTTGGAAAGCCTCTGTGTTTTATAAAGTCAAAAATCAAAGACTCCTGTCTTCTTTTTCTTAGACCACTAGTCACTTCCTTTTACCTCCTGTAGAGATATCTTACCCTACATATTTCATTTTTATTTGACAGCCTGTTGAGTTCCTAGTAGGAGTTATCTTTCTTGTGGATAATAGCTTATTTTTCCATTTTTAGTACAGTGTAGTGTGTGGTATTTGCAAGGTATCTGTACTAGGTAATTTCTTTGAACAGGAAAAAGTAAAGTTTGGCCTTATTTCTTGTTGATACTGTGCATTAAAGTTTTTATTGAAGGCTGGTGGATACAACACATTTGTTAAATATTGGTTTTTTTTCCAGTATCTATTAGTATCCCATTGCTCTGTTTCTGTTTATTGTGGTTAACCATCTTGGCATGTTGCACACACATTACTTTTAAAGGGAAGTACATGCTTGCATATGTTTGTCTTCAGTATAGTTCAGCATTTTGTTTTTGTCACTGCACATGTATCCAGTGGTGCACACCACAGCCTCACATCACAGATGAAGCCTCAGCCTTTCTGAAGCCCGTATTCTGTCAACTATGGTCATCAAGGCCTTTGTTCAGTTGGTGGGAAGTGTTCAGTAAATGCAGAAACAGAGTGGGAACAGGGTATAATTTGTCATCACTTGACAGTGGCCAGTGAGCAGAGACCTGAAGGTGGCCAGGAGGCCTGTCTGTTCTGGCCCAGCAGACAGAACATGTGGTTTTCAGGTGAGAGCGACAGCCAGCGGAATCGTGGTACTTGGGTTTGGAGGCCAGGCAGCCTTTCTCAGCCAAGATTTTTTTGCCCGTGGGTACCAAACTTACATCCTTCTAAATACATGGAGAGAAGTGAGGTCTCTAGGTCAGGTGTCTGCATGCTCTGTAAGGAGCCAGAGTGGATCTTAAACTGTGTGGTGAACAGTCGTATAGCCGTAGATGGACCATGAGCAATCAAGCTTGGTTATGTTCAGTAGATCTTGTTCATGGATGCCAGCCCTGGGACCTGATACAATTTTCACATAGCACAAGATTTTCTGCATTTGTATTTTTTAAAATGATTTAAAACTAAAAACTTTGTTAACTGTGTGGACTATTTGCGAAAACGGTAGGCCATGAACTGTCATTTCTGGGCCCCTATTTGGAGTGCAGTTTATGGGAGACTGTGGGGTTCCTCGGAGTGAGATAAACCATGGGAGGTTCAGAGCAGACATGGGGAGGGCCATAGTTTGTTCATCTGCAGTGTGGAGATAAGACTGCAGGAGATCCTGGGTGAAGCAGGGATGCCCTTAGTCAGATGTGTGCTAGTCAGGTGGGATTTGCTAGTCCAGGAAAATTTGAGGGTGGTCCAAACACATTGTTCCCAGAGCCCACGACTGGAGCGCAGCGAAAACTGCTGCGTTTGAGGTGCAAACGTTTCATTCCTTCAGAACCTTTCTTTGGGCCCCTTGAAGATGAGGTGAACATGTACAGAATCATCAGGAGTTTGTCAGGGCTGGGGCTACTGGTAAAGAAGGGCTTCTTGCTTTATCAAGATTACGGTAGGAGCTTTTGCTCTCTTAAACTGGTCAAGGTTGGACAAAACCACAAGGGCTCAGCTCCAGCCACTGTGGTTGGTAAAAGACCTAAGGAAATGTTTAAGTTCCAGAACTTGTAAAAGGTAAAATCTGAGACTTTGTGTTTTTCTTATACCCAGCGTACTGGCTTTTAATGTATATATGTATATTTTTGTTTATTCATTTTTGATAGGGTCAGAGGTCTAACATAGGATCTTGTGTGTGCCACGCAACATCTCAACTGTGTATCTTTTAATAGCATTAATTTTAATAACACAAATTGGGAAGCTACAGGCAAGTTATTAGCGTTGGGAGTTGCCTTTATTGATCTTGTAGGGTGTATGATTTGTAGTCTCTGTAGAAGTAGGATACTTTTCATCTATACTTACATATCTTATTTTTAATAACAGCATCGGGGTGGAAGTATGAGTGAATATACTAAAATGATGAAATGGCTCAGATTTTTGCATTGTAGTAAAACAAAACTGTTACTTCACAGTTAATGACATATTTTTTATACAGAGGTAGAGACATCTTGCATTTTATCTCTACATGCTGAGATAGTACACATCAGTTAGTGCTAAAGTTTCAAAGTAATGACAGTTGTCCATCACTATTGGCTATAAAAAGTATATTTCATTTGTATTTTAATAAATAAAGTTTGCCTGGAGAACAGAGAGTAAGATAGCCACATTGATCAGCCATACAGACCAGGCAGTGGTGACACACACCTTTAATCCCAGTAGTCACGCTAGTCTCCATGGTAACCAGGTGGTTGTAGTACTTACCTTTAATCCCAGCACTAGAGAGGAATAGAAGAGGAGTTCTGAGGATTCCTAGGGGCAGGATCACCATTTTTGGACTGAGGTAGCGGTAAGGTTGCTCTAAACCAGTAAGAAACCCTGTCTCAGGAAGGAGGAGTGGATGGGAAGGGAGGTGGAGGAGCAGAAGGAGAGGAGGGATGGGAAACTAAACTAAATGAGGGGGAAAAGTTAATTAAATAAATAAATGAAATAAAGAAACCGTGTCTTAGAAAATGAAGTGGACAACTTCTGGGGAACACCTGACAACCCCCATCATCTGTATGCACCTGCACACTTGCCTGTGCACCCACACATACACAGAAAAAAAATCAAACAATTAGAATGTAGAAAGGAAAACTTTCCCAAACAGGACTGTGAGGAAAGAGTGAGATGCAGACAAACCTCGCTGGGCTCCTGCAGGTCGCCCTGCATGTGTCTCATCAGGAAGAGAGGCTCTGGCCAGTCACAACTCTCCGTCCTTCTCAGACTTCGTCATACAGTTATGCACACTAACTTTAACAGATGGGAAGTGGGTCAGTTCTTTCAGACTCTTGTCCTTCAATTTGAAGATTTCCATGTCAAATAAAATTAATTAAGTCTTCATGTTTTCCTCTTATAAGCCTGCCTTACTAGAGTGGTCTGGGCTGATGAAAGGGAGGGTGAGGGAATGTAGGAAACTCACTTGCCTTAGACTATTTCCTATTGGCTTTTTCATGGAATTTCACTGAGTGTCTCTGCCTTCCATCCTGAGCTTTTCTGAACTCACAGAACTAACAGCTCTCTGTCTTCGGGCCTACCATAGTGCTACATAGTACTACATAGTTTGATCAACCTTTCTACCAGGGAATGCTGTACCCTTTCCCAACCTTAAATGCAGCTACTGGGCATCCACGTTGGGAGTAGTTCACCCGTTCTGTAGGCCCGGTATTGATATCTGTCTTTCTGCCACAACTAACAACCCCTGTATGTCTTCTCCCTCTTTTTTAAGGTAACATTTGCCGGTCACCCATTGCAGAAGCAGTTTTCAGGAAATTGGTAACTGATGAGAATGTTTCAGCTAATGTGAGTACTATCCAGTAGTGTACGGCGTCCAGGCTGGACCCTTCTGGGCGGCCAGGCGCCAGAGCATCCTTTTTCTCTCCTGCAGTGGAGGATAGACAGTGCGGCTACATCCACCTATGAAGTGGGGAACCCCCCTGACTATCGTGGGCAGAACTGCATGAGAAAACATGGCATCCCCATGAATCACACTGCACGGCAGGTACCGTACTGGAACTTGACGTATGTTTTGTGTTACAGTGGGCCATTGACAGCAGCGCTGTTTCCGACTGGAACGTGGGCCGGCCCCCAGACCCAAGAGCTGTCAGCTGCCTAAGAAATCATGGCATTAGCACAGCCCATAAGGCAAGACAGGTAGAAAAGATCTTGTTTAACTTCTACTAAGTAGAATCCATAACTTGAGAGACTGACCACCCTATGTGTTTCTGGATATATTTGGTTGGGCTGAACTAACTTGCTACCTGTGTAGTTCTGAAAGGTTCCGATGACCTTGGGTAACTTGTTAAAGTACAAATAAATGGCAGAAAGTACAGTGAGGTAACCTTGACCTTGAGCCAGACCTGAGTTGTGGTCTTCATTCTGTTACCTTGTGCAAACTTCACTAGAGACCCTTTCTGCTTATGGTACCAGTTTATTGGTACAGCAGTTACACTGTATGTACACACACACACACACACACACACACACACACACACACACACCTTTTCTGCTTTGAAGTACCTTACAAATATAGGAGAACTCTGGTAAAGGCAGATGCTCCCTCGAGGGCAGTTTTATTAATTATCCTACTTATAGTAGGATTTCCGTGGAATCTTTTTGTGTTTTTCTTTTCACTTCATTTTAAAGAAAAAGTTCTCAACCATTGTTTTCGATTTTTAGTTCCAAAATGTTAGTAAAGAATATTTGTAGGTCAATATCATGGTTTTTACTTATGTTTATAGGTTTTTTACTGATTGCTGCACTTTATGTAAATAAATGACTGTTCTAGTACAGTTCTTAAAGCTTTAGTTTCCCAAACTGCCAGCTTAGAGTTACCAGATGGCCTGCTGTTAGGATACTAGGTCTTTTTAGCTCAGTTGTAACGTCTTGGGTTGTGTGGTAAGCTGTGGAGAACTGCCCTTGTTCAAGCATTACTTTCATTAGCTTGTCCATGGACTGAATATGGCATGGGGTCACGTGACCGCTTCTTTCCTCTCATACAGAGGTCACTCCCAAAGTCTCCTTCTGCTTATTAACCGAATAGGAAGTGATTCGTTTGCTTTTCCTTTTGTTGCCTCAGGGTGATACTCTGTACCCATTCTAGCCTCACTTCAGGGAGTCCCGATTCAGCTTCCCCAGTGCAGGGATTGCACTATATCCCTGGCACAGAGGTGGAGTCCATGCCTTTATAGTATCTTCTCTGTGCTGCTGCTGAGTGTAACAACAGCAGTGTGTCCTGGTCAGTGTTAGGCTCTTTCTTGTTCTGCCTGCCCTCCTTCTGCTGGGCTTGTGGAGCTTCTTTGTGGGACTGCCATGGGCAGCGCCGCTGCAGATGGAGTGAGTGTGAGTGCAGGGGTCTGGTGGGTGTGTACCTAGTGTTCTGCACTGCTGCAGATGGACGAGCGTGAGTGCAGGGGTCTGGTGGGTCTGTACCTAGTGTCTGCACCGCTGCAGATGGATGAGTGTGAGTGCAGGGGTCTGGTGGGTCTGTACCTAGTGTCTGCACCTCATCAAATACGCTGGGAACGCTTTCTTATCTTTACAAGTTTATAAAAAATTGACAGTATCTCTCCTTTAGAAAAATTGATCTGATCAATTGTTTTTGCTGTTTCTTTGGTTTAAAATTACCCATCTTCTTTCTGGCTGCTTGTTTTTCTTCTGGTCTACAGTTAAGCATCTTTGCTGTGGTGGAGACCAAAGTATGCTTTTTTTGAATTGTGACTTGATTTTTTTTAAATCAATTTTGGGAAATGGCAGTCTGTTATTTTACCATATTTTCCTTTTTTTCTAAGAGACAACTTTTATGTACATTACACATAAACTCTTTATGTTCTTTTCTCTGGTTTCTATCCTGTCACTCTGTTCAGGTTATGAGAATCCCTGCTAACCAGTTTTTTTGCTTTAAGCATTTTGCTATTACCAAAATCCATAAGAATATTTATGAAGTTATTGGTGTCTGTCATTTTGTTAACAAAATCCATAAGAGTATTTATGGAGTTATTGGTGTCTATCATTTTATTAGTAGCTGTTTCAAGTTTTACTTATCTTTTCTGGTGAAACTTAGCCTCTTACAGTTTTTGGACATCATCCTGTTACTATTATTTTATAATTTGTTCTTTGATAATTTCATCTGCACATAATGTATTTGCCCCTGTTCACTTCTCTATTTTCCTGTTATCTCCTTCTCACGTCTTTGAATTCTTCCTTCCCAACATTCCTCCCTCCTGTGTGTGTGTGTTCATCCCACTGAGTTTAATTACGGTTGTCTTTGTGCCCGTGGTATGGGGTTATTTACTAGACAGTGAGTAGCTTACCATTGACTGCACCACTTAAGAAAAATGACCTCCTCAGCTAGGGGTCAGGCCTCATGTGCTCCTCCCCATCCTTGCCAGGGCCTTGATGGACTCCGTGCTGTGCAGTGCGAAAGCTGACAAGTGAACATACCGTCAATATTTTAAAGAAGGTCCATTTCTGAGCCTGCTCTCTTTTTACTGTTTTTGGAGTATTGAGAATTGAATACCTTAGGTACGTACAGGCTAGGACATGCCTGTATGCAAATGGTCTCCCACTGAGCTGTATCACCAGCATTGTTGAGTTTTTAGTTTGATGGTCTCACTATGTAGTCAGGGCTGCCCTTAATCACGATCTTCCTGCTTCCCCAGCCACAAGCAGCTGAAATCACAGGCCTGTAGTGGGCCTGGCAGGTTGTTTTCTGCTCTCGGCTGTGGTACCCTTGCAGGTGGTGTGTAAACAATCCTAGTGCCTTTGACTGGTGACATTTTTACCACTGTGTTGTCAGGATACAGGGAGACAAGTGACTCAGTTGGATTGGAAGCTTATGGTAACTGGTACCCTGCTCCTTCTGCTGGGCCTGAAGTATGGTGTGGACAGCACCCCTTTGGGGTAGGGACAGCTCGGAGCATTGAATGTTGGTCTTTTCTTTACTGAGTCCGCACAACTTCTCATTGGCCTGCTGAGCTTTCTGCCCTGGTAGTGGAGAACTTGGTCAGGTCACAAGGGGCAGCCTCCACTAGCTCTCCTTTTCTGGCCCTGCTCTTCTGAGGCTGTCCCCAGTTTCTTCTTCATTTTTCCAGACTAACAACTAGGCAGTTGGGGCCCTGCTTTTCCACCATGGCTTTTTTGCCTGAGTCTCTACTCTCACAGCATCTTCTGGGCATTTGACGTTACTGACATCTCCGCCCTGGTTGTTGTGCATGCTTTCTTAGTTGTGCTTTTGTATCCAACAGCAATATTCACCGTGGTCCACAGGTCCTTTGGAAACACTCCTCAACTGCACATAACTTTACCTTGGGTGGTGTAACCTAGTAGAACCCAGTGCAGAAGCTGATGAGAGAGTCTGCCTGAGAGTGCAGTCCCTGGACTGAAAACTAAGACGCCTGTGGGCTAGGGCGATGTCTTCCTCAGCACCCATGCTAGGCAGATCATAACTCTAGCTCTGGGGAGCTGATACCTTCTAGTTTCTATTAGCACCCATACACAGGTGCTTACCTTTACATAGACAGACAGACAGACAGGGAGCTGATACCTTCTAGTTTCTATTAGCACCCATACACAGGTGCTTACCTTTACATAGACAGACAGACAGATAGATAGACAGACAGACACACACACACACAGACAAATTGAAAGCAAACCTTAAGAAAAAAGCCCATAGTTCTAGCTTTTAATGTTTTTAAAAATACTTATTTTTGTTTTATGTGTTTTCTGGGTGTTTTGCCTGAAAGTTTGTGTACCCCATTTGTGTAGTGCTTGCAGAGGCTAGAGGAGGGTGTCAGAGGCATTGAAATTTGAAGGACACAGTGGTGAGACACCCTGTGGTTGCTGGGAACTGAACCTGGGTCCCCTGCAATAGCAACAAGTGCTATTCACCACCCAGCTATCTCTCTAGTCCTGGATTTGTATTTTTTAACTAAGAAAAAAATTTTGTTTTACTTTTAACAATAATAAAACCCCTATAAATGGGTTGTTTGTGAAAATAATTTTCTTTTACTTTTAACAATGATAAAACCCCTGTAAATGGGCTGTTTGGATATGGACTTGAATGCCTTGAGAGTTAAAGAACTCTTGAACTAATGACTTGAGAGTTAAAAAGCCCTTGGGAGAGCTCTGGGTAGGGTCCAGAGTCCAGTCAGCGCTCTCTGGGACCAGCAGGTAAGGTCCATGCATGGGAACTCACCTGGAGGTGATGTGTCATCTGTGGTGTGATCCTGCCACACTGCTGTAGTGAGCCAGGTCTTCTTAGGAACATGCATATGACCTTGAGGAAGAATCTTATTCTGTGTGGGTTTTCTAATTTGGTTTGGTAGTGGGATTGATGTCACATGCCACATCCTGTGTGAGTGTATGCGGAAATGTTTTACTGTGCAATCTTCGTGAGATGAAGTCCTAGCTGCTCTTCTTCCTTCGTTATTTTAAAATCCAAACATCTAGTGCGGTTTCACACCATAAATCATTAAGTGTTAACCAGTTTTTAAAGGACAAATTAATTGCAGTAAGTTCAAAATTATTTCAAGTTATTTCTCATAACTTGAAAAAACATTTTATTTAATAGTATTTGCTTAATATCTTTGAAATAAGTTGTAATCTCCGGGATATTAAAATAATACAGCCCTTTGTTATTATTTAATGCCATGCTAAAAGTTAATAGAAGTGTATACTAAAAGCTAAAATTTTTCATTTTTAATAGAGTAACAAGCAAGTGACCATTTTATTATTGTTTGGCTATAGTCACTGTTCCTTTTGCCCAGGTGCTTTCCAGGTAGTCAAAATCTACAAGATAGATTTCTTCAACTACATTTAAGGGAACTTAAATGTCTTAAACGCTATGGTGTCAGAAAAAAAGTACATCTGATGAAGTCCTAGAGGAATCCCTTCCATGTTAAGTCTTGGATTCTTGTCCCTGGTGGAGCTGCTACCCTTGAAAACCAGTTCTGTCTTGGTGTTCTGGAGACTCTTTATTGTCCTTCATGGGCGGATGGCTCCACCAGAGTCTGGAATGTGTTACAGACAGAACAGGGGAGGCCATTGCGGAACGTCGCTTCCGTGTGTCCACAGAATTACGTTTCTTTACTGAGGGACCAGTCAACACCTCATATTTTCTAATTATTTCAAAGAACCTTCTACAAAATTAATTTGCAATATAGATTTGGAAATACAATGATTATATTTTAGCTTAAAAATATCCTAAATTGCTTAATTGTTAAAATTTTAGTTAATGGCTGAACATGTAATTTAGTTCATGAGTTAACATGTAATTACGTGGGCCTTTTTTCCAATTACTGTTTTGTATGTATGTAATCACTGTGTTTTGGCTTCTTAATTGTAGATTACAAGAGAAGACTTTGCCACATTCGATTATATACTATGTATGGATGAAAGCAATCTGAGGTAATCTTTCATATATTTGGTTTTTTGAGACAGGGTTTCTCTGTGTAGCTCTGTCTGTTTTGGGACTCATAGCCACCTCTGTCTCCTGCAGCCTGGGATTAAAGGTGAGTGCCACCACACCCATCTTACAAGGTGATCATATGTTAAACAGTATTTCTGTCTCCTTTCCCTTCTTGTCATAGGCCCAGCAAGTTGTACAAATTGACTTTCTGTTGTCTTGCAGTTTTTAATGTACAAGGTTGATTGCAATTCACAGAATTTTCCAGAAAGGCAGGAATATCAGAGGGTGAGGTGTATTTGTCTCAGAGATCTGCTTACAGATAAAGAGAAAATCCAGCTACTGCAATGAATGAGCATGGAGGCCAGCTGGCTTGGGGCTAGAGGTAGAGGTGGTGCATTGATTTGCGCTGATTCTGTTAGCTGCTGTAACAGATGAGGAGTATCTAATTTCCTGTGAGTGTAGCGCCCTGGAGTAAATACGAGAAGACGGACTTCACTGGGTTTGTAATTTTGGTTAATTAACACTGATGGGCTAAGGTGGTAAGTAGCAGTGGCTGCTCTGTAATGCTGATGTGGCCTGCAGGCCACACCCCTCATTAGTGAATTCCCTTTATTACCCAAAAGAAGTCCAGTAAATTCCCTTTATTATCCAGAAGAGGACCACAGGACAAGTGTGGGTGGGTATAGAAGGGCCTACAACCATAGCTGCCCCCCCATGGCCACCATGCTTTCCACTGAACTGTTTGTTCCAGCCACAGCTGCCCCTGGCTCACTCACCTGCCTCGCACTCAGCCCTACTTGCTCCTGTCTTCATTTCACCTGAACATGGTTTATACTGCATGCTGTCCCTTTGTCTTGGGATGCGGTATACATGTTTGGTTTTTTTTTTTTTTTTTTAAGTTCTTTTCTGGCATTTTATGTGTCTGAAATGGTATCATTTTATTGTATCAAAATACATTTCAAAACCAAAAGAAAAGCTAATAATTGTGTGACTTAAAGATCTTAAAGATGCCCGTTTGGGACTGAGAGTCAGTGCCCTGGCGTCCAGCCGCAGGAGCGCACAGGCCTGCAGAGTGCTCGGTTTCATTTCTCATCAGGTTGCACTGATGTATTTTGATAGGATATTTCATAAACCCGAGCAGATGTCCCTGTTTAACTTAAAACCATAGATCAGAAATCTAAGTTCATGTTTCGATTTTACAGAGATTTGAATAGAAAAAGTAATCAAGTTAAAAACTGCAAAGCTAAAATTGAGCTACTTGGGAGCTATGATCCACAGAAACAACTCATTATTGAAGATCCCTATTATGTAAGTACATTTCAGGTTTGGGGCCACTGTTCAGATGGGCAGGATGTATTCTGTAGTATTAAATGACAGGTTTGGGTCTTCTGAGGACAGTGTTATCATAAACCATTGTTGGTTATTCTTTTTCTGTCCTTGCAGGGCAATGACTCTGACTTCGAAGTGGTGTACCAGCAATGCCTCAGGTGCTGCAAGGCTTTCCTGGAGAAGACTCACTAGGTGGTCCTGCCCGCCACCACTGAGCAGCTCACTCACCAGAGCTGTGCCCAAGGGTGGTGCCAGTCCTTAGCCCCGTGCCCCACCGGTCTCTTTAGCTGACTTTACTGTTTATCTTTAAAACATTTGTAGGTCGAAATTAGGTGTATGTTCAGAAGCGTAAAAATATTTGAGTAAGACAGTGTGGGGTGTGGCTAAGTATTCTTAGACTAATTGAACCTTTCCTTTCACCTTGTCCTAATTAGAAGGAAATACGGAACAAACTAGAACCTAATAAAGTAAGAATGACCTACAAGGTCCGGGTCAGCCTCTGAGCCCAGCCAGCCTGGGTAGTTCTGGTCTTACTAAAGTGTGTGCATGGCCAGCACCCAGGGGTGCCATTTGCTTGCCTTATACCTCTCTATCCTAGACTCTTGTGACAATAACTCCATCCATATCAGCCTTCCACTTAACCCTGGAAGACTTAAACTCAGACACACTGAAGGCGTTTAATATTTGAGAGAGAAGAGAATCTGGATGTGGTGATACAGGCCTGCAGTCCCAGCAGGCCAGCCTGGGCTGTGCAGTGACAGTGGGAGCAACCGATGTAGGAAATTAGCAGCGTTACTCTTACTTGGTTTTTGTCCAGTGTTTTGTGGTTCCTGTTTGAGCCACTTTGCCTCTTAATGCAAAGGGGGTGTGTGCTTCAAGAGTGGCATATGTCTGTAGTGTCCCTTCATCAGCGTTGTAAAGAGTGACCGGCAAGCATAAGTCATTCTGGTGCATTGCAGGACAGTGACCTCAGATTCATGACTGTGTATCAGAAAAGAATGTGAGTTAAACTGGGAAGTTAACAAATACACCTGAAATAGAGATCTGGTGTCTGCCTGCTTTTTTTATTGACAAATGAAGAAAGTATATTTAAAACGTTGCCTCCATGTGCCTTTTTATTTGGTCTGATGTTAAGTTCAGGTACTTATTTTCAGTATTAGAAAGTAAAGTAATGGAAAATATAAGCACATTGCTGTGACACTTGGTGATGTATGCCCAATTAAGAGATTCCAGGAACTATCCTTGTCTGTGGGCCTTCTGGCATCCTAACTGAGTAGGTGCTAACTGCCTGGCGTAGCCTGATGTAGCTGGTTTACCTCTGGTCACCTCCAATCCTGGAGAATTTCTAGTGAGAAAATGTGTCCCATTATTTGAAAGGACACAGACCTGGACATCTGCTGGGCCACACCCTATCCTCTCAAAGGAGGAAGAGGAAACAGTTGACCCTCTAGAGGACAGCAACTATCCCAACACCCTTGTCTCACACAGAGGCCATGATGTCCTCACAGAGACAGACACTTCGCCAGTTGGCTTTTCCTGGCTCCTGTGGGGTTCTGGTCATAGTTTTCATGAAGTTAAAAACTAGGAAGGCAAACGGCAAAGTAGTCGACCCCAATAGGGAAATAGATGAAGTCAAAATCGGGTCATCCTAGTTTGATAGTTGTTTCAGGGTCTTACTTTTCTCTTTCGTGTTGTAAAATCCTATTGTTTTCTTGAATTTTTATGGATGCGGATCCTTGGAATGTGGTACTCTTGTGGCGACTTGGTTCTGTGCCTGTCCCACACAGCACCGTGTGTTTATAAGAGCTCATGAGCAGAGAAACTTACCTTTCTAAATTCAGTCCAATTCATTTTATTTAAAATATAGCCATTAAAATCTGGAACTGTTCTTAGGGTTCTTAGTTTGACATTCTCTTACAATCATGTAGGAAGTCATGAATCTGAATGTACTTGGGGTACTCATTGATGACTAAGTGAGACCAAGTAATCAGGAGTCTGTCATTTAGTACTTGGTGGCACCTCTGCATACATACATATGTATGTGTATATATGTATGTGTGTATACATATTGAACAATAGCGTTGTTACAGAAGAGTCACTCTGAAGACTGTTCATTATACCAAACACTGGGTTTATTTCCTTGTACCTATTCACAGTATTTACATATTGTACAATACCTGGAATGTACTTTTACAGAGGACAAATGGGACTGGCCTGGGCTTATCCACAGACTGATACGCCGCTCTTCAAAACAAGTGAGGTTTTTTTGGTTTTCATTAAAATTTTCATGCAGTTCCAAACTATAGTTTGGGAGTTTAATTGTAGAAGTAATACAAAATGTCAAATAATACTGTATACGCTATGAAAATACAGTTTAATGTTCTGCCTATGTTTCTAAAGAAATACTTGAGGTTCCACCTAGTCTTTAAATGGAAATACCTCCTTTTATAGCATGAACATCAAATGTGGAGTTTCTCTGTTCTTACAGTCTAAGAGTGGCAAATCTCACTGACAGATACACTGATTTGCTGAATGTATATTTGTAAACTGTCAGCAACATAGAAAATGCAAAGGAATTATGGAAGAATGCAAAAATAAATCTCTGTCCACAGGAAATGGGCATGAAGATGTTCTGTTCTCTGTTGGTTTCCAAGGCACTTTTCAAGGTTCCCGGGGTTGCTCCTCTGCAGCTGAAAAGAATTACATGTGATTTCACACAGCCACTCCTTACTGCCAACCCCAGAGGACCAGTGAGTCCAGCAATAGAACCCATTCATAAACAAATCTGCGTTTCTCTGTATTCAGAGTCTAGGTCCTTCCGCCGCTCCCACCTGGGCAACAACGTAATTCTGTAGTTACTGTGTGTTTGCTGCCTAAGGGATGAAAGCCATCATGCAGATCTGTGAAGAAATCTTACGTGTATGATAGAGTTCCTTGGACTTTCAGTCAACAGATTTGCAGTGTGTGTCACTTCCGGGATGGAGTTTGTTTGCCTGACACTCCTTTGTTTACACAGTAAAACCACTATTCCATCAGAGCCCTTTGTAGTACCCCTTGCTAAAATGCCTGTTTGAGTTCTAAAGGAAAGGTAGCATCAAGGTTACTAGGCCATATTCAGGTTAAACTAGGTACTTAGGTGATTAGTACATAAGTCTATACTTTCAAAAATATCCCAGCGTTCAGGCTTTTTATTTAACTGACCTGTAGATTCAACAATAGGAATATGTGTGACTTAGAATATGCTTTCTGTGGTCTGAGGTCAGTTACTGAGTTTCCCAAGGAAACCTCATGAATTTGAGCATTGCTTGTCTTCTAGGACTTGTAAAACCTGTCCCTAAGTCTTTTGGCAAGGGCAGGGACAGGAATCTAGTCTGATCGTCTTGAAGAAAGAAGACGGGAACTGGACACAGCAGAAGGCTGGTGTGGCCACTTCAGTGAACCGGTGTGCTCACAATTTTCTCTGTTGTGAGACATGATGTTTGTTCCAGCCTGAGGGTCTGCTAAGTAAGGAACACCTACCTACGTTTATACTGGTGACCACTAGACACAGGTTTGCTATCAGTTTAAAACCTTCTGACTTAAAAGAGTTTAATCTTAATAAAACTTTTAAACTAGTAGTTGGTAGAGATAGTGGTTTTCTAAACTGCTTTCCACACCCCCACATTTTGGCCAAACAACCTTATTCATTTTGGACAAGTGACTGTTGAAGCAGGTGACCTTTGGTGCGAATGTTTGTGACCATAGATCTTCCTACCATGTACTGTGTTGCAATACCTTGTCAAGTTCCTGCTGGATAATGCAACCCATGTAGCGGAGGGCAGTGTGTGATTACTGTGGCTGCCCCATGCCATGTCTATTACATGCCTTGCTCTTTCCTGGCTGTTTTCTGTAATCTACTGTATTGGGGCAGTCACAGATGTGCTGCTGATGCCTGGCAGACACAGATCAGGTAGAGCTGGTGCATGAGTGCAGTGTACTGATGGTGGTTTGACTTTTTGGGGAAAGTGAATCCTGTGCAAGAGCAGTGAGCTCTCAGGGTGCTAGGTGGTACCAAAGGCAAGAAAGTTCTCAGTGCATAGGTGGACATTCTCTCCATACTCCTGAGTTAATGGAAATACTTCCCAAAGGACATAATGGAGCTGGCATTTTTATCACCCCAGCACAACTATACATGTGTGTCATGTATGTATGTATGAATGTATATGTATGTATGTATGAATGTATATGTGTGTATATGTCTGTGTGCTGTAAATGCAGTGGTTAAACAAATTGAAAATGTTGGAAAGAAGGCATGTACTTCTGAGCTTTGACTGACATAAACATACTTGTCCAGGAAAGTCAGTGTGCCATGCAGCCCCCACTGTTCTTCTTCACCGTTAGTAGAGAGCCTCTTATTTTTAGTGGTTTTTGGTCCTGATATATCAACCCAGATTGTGAGGATTTCTGCCAACACTGGGGTTGCTGTATCCTGGCCCTGCTGACCCAGCCAGGTCCAAGGTTTACCTCTGTGTTGTACTGAGCATGTCTGTATATAAAAGGCAGCTGTTCTCATTCATTCTTATGAAACAAACTAGAACAGCTACTAAAAAAAAAATGCAATATCCACTTATTTGTATTTTCTGAACAGCAGGCATGGTTTCTGGAAACAGCCATTTGCATTCAGGAAGTAGATCTTATTTGTGGTGTGAATCCCCACATAATAATACCTGATACACTTATGACACAGAAATACAGAACTGATAAAAGTTATGTCAGTCAGTCTTGGAAGAATGAGTACTGTAGAATCTGTGTTGGGAGGTAGAGCCATTTCGCCCTATACATTGTTAGCAACACAGATGAGAGCATCCAAAAGCCAGTGTACAGTTACAACCTGATACTGCATTTACATTGCTTCCACCGGGCATTAGGGGTGAGCACTCATAGAAATATTTATGTTAGCTATATTAGTTTTTTTGCTATAATGATAAGACTCCAAGCCTCCACCAGGTACATAAAATTTATGTGACTGTAGATAGCAACAAATAGTATAGTCTAACTTAAAATTTGCATTATGTTACCAAGGTGCAAAAAGAATGCACATTTGACACATTTTGTGTGTGTGTGTGTGTGTGTGTGTGTGTGTGTGTGTGTGCTATATACATACGTGCATGCCCATGTATGCATACGGAAGCCAGAGAAGGATTTTGAGTGTCCTGTTATGTAACACTCTACCTTAATCCTTTAAGTCAGGGCCTCTCAGACTGGTGCTAAGGTGACCCTCTTGTCTGGCCACTGGGGTGACAGGTGTCTGTTGCCATGCCTGACATCTTACATGACTACAGGGATTTGAACTCAGGGCCACATGCTTAAATAGCAAGTGCTCTTACTCCCAGAGCTATGCCCCACCTGCATGCTTCAGTGTTTGAATGTGGTGTTGACATGGGCTGACATGCGGTGTAATGCTGGGCAGCAGGGAACCACAGTTCTAGCCTGCCACATTCTTAGGTTGCTTATTAAATAAATTCTGAAGGGTCATCTATGTTCATAAATGTCAGTGAATTAGTACAGCCTGGAATTCAACAGCAATGGGTTGAAACGTGTCTGATTTAAACTGTAGTAATCCGTCAGCTATGTGCTATGTAAGTTCCAGTAACAATGTCCACTGTAGATAGCCAGCAGGGGGAGCCTTCTACTCATGGCCAATGTTTTGAGATAAATTGGTTGTCTCTTGCTCAAAGCAAGGTGACTGTAGTGAAAGAATGCGTGAGTCTAAGTGTGTGCGTGTGTGTGTGTGTGTGTGTGTGTGTGTTATGACCAACATGGGATTCAGACACTTGCTTTGTGGACACCACGATTGTCTGGGAGCTTACCTTATCTCTCCATGCACATGGGACTGACAGCCAGCCGTGTAAGTAGCCTGGCACATCTTTTATAGTCTGCAGTGAAAACAAACCATGGACTCTTGTCAGTTCCCCGCACCACATTAAAATTAAACACAGGCTGACTTTTTGCAAGTATATAAAGTGTTCTAACCACCATTTGTTTTTTAATATTCTGAAGTCTCTAGAAGCAATAGAGGTTGTTACTTGAAAGTGAGCTCTAAGTTGCTTTCTTCAGAGG